CGCCCCGACAGGGGCAACCAAGGAAACAATTCTCGTGACCTCAAACAGGCCCTAGAGTTGTTGTCGAAACACCTCAACTTCAACAACAACAGTTTGTGCAATAAACTTTCTAACCTGAATCTGAACAACAACTCAGATAATAAAACTGGTGAATCTTATCAGGACAACTTTGTTATCAATCTTTCCGATTATGACCTTAATCCATCTGAATTAGAGGTTCTTAACAAGGGACTCACTTTTAGCCCCACCCCTAGATTTACTGACAAAAGTAAAACCTTTTCCGACCTGAAACAATTTTTCCCAAAATTACGTCTCACTCACTTTTTCCATGATTCTTCCATTAATGGCACTTCACACCCGCTCCAAAATACACTGGATCGCAAATTCGGTCCCAAAAGCACTTGGACCCCTAGACCTTATACCGACCCAACACTAGAGTCGTTTATCAAAGCCGTCTCCAATGATTTTTACAAACTTGGTAATATAAAATTCAGACGCCAAAACATTACCGGCGCGCAAAGAACTGCACTAAAACAGCTCAAATTTAATAGTGAAATCATCATTAAAAAAGCTGACAAAGGTTCTGCAGTAGTAATACAGAACACTACTGATTACATCAAAGAGACAGAAAGACAGCTCTCTGACACTAAGTTCTATGTCAAATCAGACTATGATCTCACAGAAAGATTTTCTGAAATCGTTGCCGAAGAACTAACCAATCTGTTCCTCAAAGAAGAACAATCACACAAATGTTTTACGGGACTTTTACCGCAAAACGCAAAAGCAGGAAGATTTTACCTGCTCCCCAAAATACACAAATGTTTATTACCAGGAAAAATACCGGGCCGTCCCATCATCAGTGGGAATGGTACACCTACTAAAAACATCAGTAGCTTTGTAGACGAACACGTCAAAGCATTTGTCAGCAGATATCCCAGTTACCTCAGGGATACAACACACTTCATACAGAGATTAGAATCACTGAATCTCCCCAACAACCGAGACATCATGCTTGTTACTATGGATGTCACCTCGCTGTACACCAACATTCCAAACGGCGAAGGCCTTAGAGCCGTTGCACAAGCCATTCGTAAGTTTAAACCAGACTGGCAAATTTCGCCCACCGGTTTACTCTCTCTCCTAAAAATCGTCTTACACAATAACAATTTTGTGTTCAGTAACCAACATTATCTACAAGTTGGAGGCACAGCTATGGGGACGAAAGTCGCCCCATCCTATGCCAATATTTTTATGGGAGAATTGGAAACTCAACTCCTATCTGGGCACCATGATAAGCCGGACTTCTACGCCCGATTTATTGACGACATTTTCATTATTTGGACACTAGGGGAAACCCGCCTAGCTGCATTTATTAACTTTCTTAATAATGCACACCATTCCATTAAATTCACCGCAGAATTTTCCAGGAATAAAGTGGCTTCTTGGATACGTGGGTTTCTTTCAACCAAAAGGAATGCAAACTGCAGTTCACTTTATATAACAAACCCACGGACACACACTCCTATCTGTTGTACACGTCTTGTCACCCCAGTCATATCAAAAGGAAAGGGCCATTCAGCAAATTCCTGAGACCCAAGAGAATTTGCTCTTCTGAATCAGATTATGATACACATAGTAGAAATCGTATCAACTACTACCTCAAAAGAGGTTACCCTAATAAAACACTACAACAAAATAAATGCCGGGCAGACGCTTGCAAAAGAGAATCACTCTTAGCAACCAAACCCAAACCTGCTCCAATCAGGAAACAGGTGCTCATTAGCGATTACAATCCATTGAACATGGAGCTCAACAGGATCATCAGAAACCGGTGGCATTTACTCACCGGTTCTGACACTTGCAAAAGTTGCTTCTCAATTCCCCATGTCTCAGCCTACAGAAGGAACCCTACCATAAAGGATTACCTAGTCAGGACAGTACTACACTACCCACCACCAAACCGCAGATTAGCGGCAAGGTAGTCAACTTCGTAAATGCGAGTTGCAAAAGAGAAGGATGCAAAATCTGCAACTCCTTAAGCAAAACACATATGTTTCGCAGATCGACATTAGGCAAAACATTCAAAACCCACAAGTTTAAATGTACAAGTAAAAAGATAGTTTACTTGCTTACTTGTAACAAATGCAAGAAACAATACGTTGGAGAATCCAAAAGAGAATTTCAGACTAGACTGAAAGAACACTTTGCAGACATCAGCTACAAGAGAGACAAACCTGTAGCCAATCACTTCAATAGTGATGATCACAGCACCAAAGATGTTAGATATAACATCATAGCACAGCTCAAGGAAACCCTGAGTCTACTGACACCACAGTTAAGAGGAGATCACTCGAACTGAGGTGGATATTTGAGCTAAAAACTTTCCACCCGCACGGTCTCAATGACAGAATGGTTGGCTGATTAATTCCCCCCTTTGGTCAACTTGCACATACAAATGAGGTTCACATTAACACATAGAAATGAGGTTCACATTAACACATAGAAATGAGGGTCACATTAACACATACAAATGAGGTTCACATTAACACATACAAATGAGGGTCACATTAACACATACAAATGAGGTTCACATCAACACATACAAATGAGGTTCACATTAACACATACAAATGAGGTTCACATTAACACATACAAATGAGGTTCACATTAACACATACAAATGAGGGTCACATTAACACATACAAATGAGGTTCACATTAACACATACAAATGAGGGTCACATTAACACATACAAATGAGGTTCACATTAACACATACAAATGAGGTTAGCATTAACACATACAAATGAGGTTCACATTAACACATACAAATGAGGGTCACATTAACACATACAAATGAGGTTCACATTAACACATACAAATGAGGGTCACATTAACACATACAAATGAGGTTCACATTAACACATAGAAATGAGGTTCACATTAACACATACAAATGAGGGTCACATTAACACATACAAATGAGGTTGACATTAACACATACAAATGAGGGTCACATTAACACATACAAATGAGGTTCACATTAACACATACAAATGAGGTTAGCATTAACACATACAAATGAGGTTCACATTAACACATACAAATGAGGGTCACATTAACACATACAAATGAGGTTCACATTAACACATACAAATGAGGGTCACATTAACACATACAAATGAGGTTAGCATTAACACATACAAATGAGGGTCACATTAACACATACAAATGAGGTTCACATTTAACACATACAAATGAGGTTCACATTAACACATACAAATGAGGGTCACATTAACACATACAAATGAGGTTCACATTAACACATACAAATGAGGGTCACATTAACACATACAAATGAGGTTCACATTAACACATACAAATGAGGTTAGCATTAACACATACAAATGAGGTTCACATTAACACATACAAATGAGGGTCACATTAACACATACAAATGAGGTTCACATTAACACATACAAATGAGGGTCACATTAACACATACAAATGAGGTTAGCATTAACACATACAAATGAGGGTCACATTAACACATACAAATGAGGTTCACATTTAACACATACAAATGAGGTTCAGTTTTAACACATTCAAATGAGGTTCACATTAACACGTACAAATGAGGTTCACATTTAACACATACAAATGAGGTTCAGTTTTAACACATACAAATAAGGTTCAGTTTTAACACATACAAATAAGGTTCAGTTTTAACACATACAAATGAGGTTCACATTTAACACATACAAATGAGGTTCACATCAACACATACAAATGAGGGTCACATTAACACATAAAAATGAGGTTCGCATTAACACATACAAATGAGGTTCAGGTTTAACACATACAAATGAGGTTCAGTTTGAACACATACAAATAAGGTTCAGTTTTAACACATACAAATAAGGTTCAGTTTTAACACATACAAATGAGGTTCACATTTAACACATACAAATGAGGTTCACATTAACACATACAAATGAGGTTCACATTAACACATACAAATGAGGTTCACATTAACACATTCAAATGAGGTTCACATTAACACATACAAATGAGGTTCATGTTTAACACATACAAATGAGGTTCAGTTTTAACACATACAAATGAGGTTCACATTAACACATACAAATGAGGTTCAGGTTTAACACATACAAATGAGGTTCAGTTTTAACACATACAAATGAGGTTCACATTAAAACATACAAATGAGGTTCACATTAACACATACAAATGAGGTTCACATTAACACATTCAAATGAGATTCACATTAACACATACAAATGAGGTTCAGGTTTAACACATACAAATGAGGTTCAGTTTTAACACATTCAAATAAGGTTCAGTTTTAACACATACAAATGAGGTTCAGGTTTAACACATACAAATGAGGTTCAGTTTTAACACATACAAATAAGGTTCAGTTTTAACACATACAAATAAGGTTCAGTTTTAACAGATACAAATGCGGTTCACATTTAACACATACAAATGAGGTTCACATCAACACATAAAAATGAGGTTCGCATTAACACATACAAATGAGGTTCAGGTTTAACACATACAAATGAGGTTCAGTTTTAACACATACAAATGAGGTTCACATTAACACATACAAATGAGGTTCACATTAACACATTCAAATGAGGTTCACATTAACACATACAAATGAGGTTCATGTTTAACACATACAAATAAGGTTCAGTTTTAACACATACAAATGAGGTTCACATTAACACATACAAATGAGGTTCAGGTTTAACACATACAAATGAGGTTCAGTTTTAACACATACAAATGAGGTTCACATTAACACATACAAATGAGGTTCAGGTTTAACACATACAAATGAGGTTCAGTTTTAACACATACAAATAAGGTTCAGTTTTAACACATACAAATGATGTTCAGGTTTAACACATACAGGGCAAGTAAATATCTATTTTAGGCTACTTCAAAAGTTAGTCTACACCTTCTTCTCCCCAGCATCCTCCTCGGGGCGGCGTCCATGGGCCTGGTGATCACCTACCCCCTGGCCAAGCGGTACACGTACTGGCCACAGCTGATGCTGGGTGAGAACCTTCAGCCTTCATGCGGATGTAGTCCACGTTTTACCGTTACACTATCCATACTATTGATCGGGGGATTTGTTTGTGCAAAGTAAAAAAAATAAATTATATTTCATAATAAAAGATCAACATTAGTTTGATTGTTTGTATGATTTGTAATAATCCAATGTTGGTTAAAGCAATATTTAACAGTTTTCATATGTAACAACTCAGTGTATCTGTCGTAAATTGTTTGCAGTATTTTGTGACGTTAGTCTGTGTCATTGTGGATATAATCTGCCAGAAACTGCCAATACGGTATATAAGCCTACCGTTATCTACTATTAGATGTTAATACTGTATGTAAGCCTACTGAATTTCACTTTGTAGAGTTATGTCCCTTTGTTGTGTTAGGGTCTGCTGATCATTGGATCAAATCATACTTTAGCAATTTTAAGGTAAATTGTAATTATGTTAATCAGCACATCGTTTAAGGTTTGAATTCTGTGTGTGCAAACGTCCTGTAAGTTTGGGTTATTTTTCAATATTCATAGTATTGATATTGATGTTAGCAATGATTCATCAGGTTTATACTCTTATGTCCACTGTAATGGCATTAGCTAGACTAACCTCACTATGGCTTCAGGCATCAATACACAGGGTGGACATCCCAGTCATCTAATGTATACTTCTCAACTCTTGATAGGGATATTTGTATTGTCACAGGCTGTGGAGGAATGCTCGACGAGAGTATTCAAGATTGCCATTGAACTGGCACATTTTCCATTTCACCTCATAAAATGCATTATAAATTATTATACATCACTAATTGTTGACCTCAGGATGTTGATTTTTTTTTTCACTTTTTCAGAATTTATTATTGGTTCATTCATAAAAGAAATGGTTTGGCCTAATGAGTTGGTTGGTCGGTTGGTTTGTTGTGTAATGCCGCGCTCAGCAATATTCCAGCTATATGACGGCGGTCTGTAAATAATCGAGTCTGGACCAGACAATCCAGTGATATAATATCATGAGCATTGATCCACGCAATTGGGATCGATGACATGCATCAACCAAGTCAGCGAGCCTGACCAACCGATCCCGTTAGTCGCCTCTTACGACAAGCATAGTCGCCTTTTACGGCAAGCATGGGTTGCTGAAGACCTATTCTACCCCGGATCTTCATGGGTCCCTAATGAGTTGGAAGTAACATGTTTAAGATGTTGGAGGATGTTTGTTTGCAAGTAAGCAACGGCCAGCCACTCTCATTCCTTGTGTTTCAAGTCTGACTTTTACCTTTTAGCCTTTTGAAAACAATGTAACAGGAATAATTGTGTCTTGTAACCATTTATCTCAAAATTTACAAAGTTACATTGACAAAGTCATCACCTGAAGCTAAAGAACAGAATTTTTGCCCAACCAGATGGCTGCTAAAATGCTAGTGTGTGGAAAACAAAAAAAATAAAATATTGTAATAGATGCAATACAATAACAAATTTAGCCATTTTGATTAAAATATGGTTTTAATTCGTGTTTTCCACATTGTAAGTCCTTAAGACAAGAATTAAATTGGACTGGCCTAAAATGAAGTTTTACTGATTCAAAATTTGGTCCTGTTAGAGAAATGTGTGTGCCGGTCTGGGACGTCCATTAGTATCCCTGCTTTCCTTGTGTGACAGGTTACCATGGTTACTGGTGTTGTAGTCTAGGCAACCTGCAGAGTGTACCACACCTTCCTGTGTGCATGAGTAGACCAACACACTGATAACACTAACAGTACAATACAGCTTATTTGGCTGTGCAGGTGTCTGTGCATCTTCCTGAGGCAAGGGAGTTAGTTGACCCTAAAAGTCCAGTTTCCATCCTTGCTTGACTTATGGAGTTATGGAGTCTATGCATAGTCCAATCAATATTGCTTTATGAAATCGACATCCGGTTTGTAAACTGCCGTGGAGATTTCGATCGATTGTCGGAATGCAAAGCATTTCTACTGTCATCTTAATGTCAACAGATATTTTCCAAATCTTTTCATGTTTTTGATCAAGGTGCTCACGTGATTTGATGCACTTCGCAAAGTAATACCTGTTTTAATACAATATTGATCTTCATTACTGATCAGATCGTCTTGACTGGGCGCCCCCATTTTGTTTGAAGCAAATGCAATCTGATTGGTCAACAGGAGGGACATGGAAGGGACATAACTCGTAATAGCCTCTGGTGGCGCTACAATCAAGCCCAGAAAATCCAGCCTAGTTTGACAAGGGTGGAAACTGGACTTTTGTCGTCAGTTAATTCCCTTGCCTCAGGAAGATGGTATCTGTGTCAGAATGAAAGTGTATTGAGCAGGAAGATGAAACTAAGGGAAACATGTTCAGTCAATGTTGGGAAGTGTATTTGATGACTGGCTATTCAGTGGAATCTGTCCAATTCGGACTCGGTTGGGACTTGTAAAAAGGTCCATACACAGATTACAAAAAGACAAAACGAAATGCAACGATCATTGATCTTTATTCGCAAACATTGTTGTTGGTTTGTTGTCTAACGAGTGCCGCACTCCGCAATATTCCAGCTATATGACGGCGGTCTGTAAATAATCGACAATGCAGTGATTGACATCATGAGCATCGATACACACAATTGGGATATGGTGAAATGCATCAGCCAAGTCAGCGAGTCTGACCACCCAATCCTGTTAGTTACCTCTTATGACAGGCATAGTCACCTTTTACGGCAAGAATGGGTTGCTGAAGACCTATTCTAACCCGAACGTTCACAGGTCTTATTCGCGTACACATTCATTGTAATGAAATATTAACATGAGCAGCATTAAATGCACTTTAGTAATTATAATTTGTTAAGGAACTGAGGGGACCGGAGTCTGCTTCACCGAAATCCAAATTTGACAGAGTCCGATTTGGACAGATTCCACTGTATAATATTGGTTGGTTTGATTAATGTATTGCTTATCATTATGGTAGTTGATGTTTATATCGGATTTCACATATTTTAAATAATGAATGAAGTGTGGGGATGGTCGTATGTTTTCAGGTGTAACATTAAACTGGGGTGTCCTCCTGGCGTGGTCGGCACTCCGCAGCACTCTGGACCCCACCATAGTGCCGCTATACCTGGCGTGCGTTGTGTACACTGTATTCTATGACACAATCTATTCGCACCAGGTACTTGCAGACCATCTCGTTACTTATTTATGTTGTCTCCGTGATGGCCTCGTTGGAAGGTGGTTGAGAATATTTGGTAGATTGTGTTTCTTTTCTTTATTATATCTTATATATTTTGTATATTTTATATATATATATATTTTTTTAGAAATAGAAATTGTAGATGCCGTTTTTTGCCTTCTCATCTATCATGTATGTGAAAAGGAAATGAACTACATTTTGGTACTCAGGAACTACTTTTTGGTAGTAAAGAACTACTTTTTGGTACTAAAGAACTACTTTTTGGTACGTACTCAGGAACTACTTTTTGGTACGCAGGAACTACTTTTGGGTGGTAAAGAACTACTTTTGGGTAGTAAGGAACTACTTTTTGTAGTAGAGAACTACTTTTTGGTAGTGAAAAAATACTTTTGTGTCATTGGGATGTCAAGGCCTGAAAAATTATTATACTCTATATTTTTTAATGCCTGAACTTGTATTATTGTGTTGATATTTATAGATGGTTTCCTTTTTTGCAATAGAGGTATTCTAATTTAATTTTTTAGAAATTATATGTGTTTCCACATATCACTCCTACCAAACATTCTTAATGACCCTTCAAGCCTACACCCAGGGACTGACTGCATCATTAGATGGATCTGCCAAACTTGAATAACAATCCAAACAATAGGAACAGTTGAACTGTAAGGCCTGGAAGCTGTGCTCGGAGTACGCTGCCATCCCGCTCTGCTTGTCTGCTTCCTGCATGCTCCGCACCCACACACCAGCCCGGGTCGTCATGGTTACTGATCCCTGATTTGTTCGTTGATACTGACTTTTTGAACCGAGATGGCAGACCCCACAAAACTGTCACACTGGTGTTGTGTTTGTTTTGTTCAGAATACTTATCCATTTACTTCTCCCGCTTGGTATGTGATCCTACTTCCATTGAACTCAATGTAGGAAACAGAATGACATGCGACAGGTCAGGTCAACCGACGTTGATTGTTTTAGTTCCAAGTGTTACACAAGTCAGATCTTAAACTCGCATTAACATTTTCAGTTTTTGGTTTATATTTTTCGAAAGATTTGTCTTGAGATGTAGAAGTGCGTCTTAAATCCGTAAAGCACAAATAGGCAGACTTTTGTAACGGGTCGAACGGTAGCCCCTGCTAGTGATGTAGAGATCGGCTGATGATGATGCACAAATGAGGGGATCGGTAACCACGGCTACTACTCGGGGAGTCCATTGTTCCTTCCCTTCTCTGCACTCGTCTCTTCTGCGTGTTTTGTGTCTCAACCTGTCAGTCTCACATGTTTGTGCTTCGACCTGGTGCATGTAGTGTACTTCTGTGTCGGTGAGTTCACATTCAGTTGCTATATTTACGAATGAAAATATGTGATTCAAGTAGTAGATTAGAAATGCATGAAAATCGTATGTAGCACTTTGCCATGGTTTCGATGGAATGAGCTGTTACCTTGGTTACTTTGTTGTCAGTTCTATTTTTAGACATGCGAGGACACAGATGCATTAAGTACAGATAGAGAGGGTTGTCGTCAAAAAAATAAGATCAGATTGACAAAAAAGTTGAAGAATTCAATCAGTTATTGGGAAAGTCAGAACAATTATCCATTGTCTATAGTTTTATAAATGATGAGGCTTCAATCAATTCAGTTATGTTTCCTCATCTTTAAGGGACATTGTGGACAATGAGATGATGTTAGAGTACTGTTTGGTGGTGAGGCAGGCAGGTTGAAAAATTAATTAATTTATTGTGAAGAAGAGATTTTGTTTAGGAAACTAGTATTTGGGGGGGGGGGGGGGGGGGATCTCATGGCTGTAATATGTTTCCAGTGTGAGCTGGTTGTGGTACATCAGGGAACAGACCTGATTCAGCTGCACTCGGCATCTTCATAGGCGGCCATTGACTGCATGGAGGTGTAGGTGTCACCCTATCTCATTAAAATCAGATCTTAGTTCTCGCTACCGCTAAACAAAGATCTGAGGACATCCCATTACGGGTCACGTCAGACTGACCTTGCGCCGCGAATTTGACCGACTAATGGAATGACCAATCAGAAGGCAGCTTCCTCGTGCCTTACGGCAGTAATTTCAAATTGGCGACTACGCCTTGAAACTTATTTTGACAAATTCTCGATTACAAATTTGAAACCTGAACAAAAGAACATTCTGGAATGACTAATAGATGGTCTAGATTGTATGGATTCAGTCGTTAAACTCTTAACTATCGTTCAGAGTTAAAGTTTTCGAGGTTACATGATCAGAAATCACATTCCAACTGTCTCTTTCATAATCTGGTAAGCGATGCTCTGATTGGTCGGATGAAAGGTCGTTCTGACGTGACCCCTAATGGGATGTCCTCAGATCTTTGTTTAGCGGTAGCGAGAACTAAGGTTTGATTTTAATGAGATTGAGGTGTCACCTTGGTCGTATTATTTCATGAACGGAAACTTATTACAACTAGTAACTGATCAACTGACATCTCTGATCATTGATATAAGTACAAGTCTGTGTATCGTTATGAAGCAATGATTGGAGAACGCCTAGCACTAGCAACATGCATGCTAACATACTTACTAGAATATAATGGTACTTGTTTTTTTGTACAGATTTACGCACAGCTTGTCTTTGAGTTTACAACTAACATCACCCCATCTCTACCCAGAATTTACAGTTTGTGTTTCAGATGAAAATTTTACATCATTTAGAAGAGGCAGTTACATCTTTTGTGCTGGTCTGCAGCCAATCACTCACAAGGGTTATGTCCCTTTGGTTCTGACTGCAAGACGACACTTTGAATTTAACATTCATGGAGTATCAAATTCTCAACTCTTTGAAACTAATAATCAATGTAAACATTTAGCATTTTGTTTAATTGTAGCATTCCAAATAAGGATGTGACTTGATGATTCAGAAAATAGGTCTACCGGTATATCTGTATCGCCATGGACACTTAATACTCTATATTAAGGGTCCATGGTATCTCCAAACAGTTAATCCCCAAGTGTTGTCTTGTGAAGACACCCAAATGGATGTTACCCACCTTCAGTGTGAATATAGCTTTTCCTATTTCACAGACAATTTTTGGTGTCCCCGCTAGGTTTCACCTTCAACTACGGCGTGCTGTTTGGGTGGTCCGCAGTGAAGGGCTATACCGATTGGTCGGTTTTAGTGCCCATGTACGCAGGCAGTATAGCATGGACACTTATATATGACACCATCTATGCTCACCAAGTGAGTATTGGTACTTGCAACGATCACCGGGTGTGGGGACTCGGGGGGGATGGGGGTGCCAATAGCTTTGGGTTGCAGTAGTTGGTTTAGTTGTGATTTCCTCTTCCACTTTTGTCAAGAGCAGCAACAAGTCAGGGTTAGTGATTAGGTCTGTTTGTCCAAAATAAAATTTAGGAAGAACTTTCCTTTTGGACTATTACCTTTGATTAGGTAGATGGCCTCTCTGTAGCAGATTAATTTTTGGGGACAGGTTGCCTGAATACATTCAGTGACCAGTCTTGGACTGGCAAATAAAAATATGCATTAAACTGCCATGCAGGTTTAGAAATTATTTTATATTTTATATTTTCAATATAAAATAATTTAATCTAAAATAACCCCTGCAGGGTTAAAAATTATTTTTTATTTAATATTTTCAATATGAAATAATTTAATTTAAAATAACCCATGCAGGGTTAAAAATTATTTTATATTTTGTATTTTCAATATAAAATAATTTAATCTAAAATAACCCCTGCAGGGTTAAAAATTATTTTTTATTTAATATTTTCAATATAAAATAATTTAATCTAAAATAACCCAAGCAGGGTTAAAAATTATTTTATATTTTGTATTTTCAATATAAAATATTTTAATTTAAAATAACCCATGCAGGGTTTGAAATTATTTTATATTTTCAATAAATAATAATTTCTGACCATGTATGGCAATTAAATGCAATTCTTTTATTTGCCAGTTTAAGACTGGTCATAGAATGTATTTAGGCAACAGCGCAAGTCACAAAGTTGAATAATGCAAGAAAACGAGGTAGTTCTGAAATTCTGCAATCATTCAGTTGAAGTCAGTTGGGACTTGTTATTCAGGACTTGGCAGCTCAGTACCTACCTATTATTGCTCAGATATTCTGGAAATGTTGGATAGCAATCTTCAGGCCAAGACTGTTGTAACCCCTATTAACCCCAGGAACACTGTTGATTCATTAAGACAGACTCTGCTTTAACTTGACTAAGACTGTGTTCCTTCTTATACTAAGACAGTTATGATTCTGCTGCTTTCTATTCTTGTTGTCCTCATCTTCCCGAGGCTCAGGATTCCACTAGCCTATATCAAAGCCTAGTTTCTACCCTTGCCACATCAAGCCCACGCCACATCAAGCCCACTTTTCCTGGCCCCACCCTTGTGCAGCCACGTAGATAAAGAGTTGGGGGGGCACGGGTGGCCCAGTCGTCTAAGGCGCCGCGATTCTCTGTGCAGAGTTGCGTACCTTCGGCACGCCAGAAACCTATGATTGTGGGTTCGAATCCCGGTTCGCCTCGATTATGTTTCTAGGTTTGTCGTCACCATACCCGTGCTCGTGGGTTTCATGAAAGTGGTAAATGTCTGAGACCTGCATCACTTCGGGCTTTCCTCCCACATTAAGCTGACACGCCGCAATATAACTGGAATAATGTTAAAAACGGCGTTAAACCCAACTCACTCACTCACTCACTCACTCACTCACTCACTCACTAGATCATGAGTTGTGACCCTTGTAATGAAAACACGATATCCAATCAGATCACTGTTCTTATCTCATATAGCTTCACAAAGATGGCGACTGCCGTAAGCGACAACCTAGTCGATCAGATTACGAAAACATTCCCAATTTTATCCCTGACACAAAAACATAGGCAATCATTGGTAGGTTTAGAAGAAAAAAAAAGACATATTCGTGTCAAAAAAGGCATCCAGCGGTAAATCACTTTCATACGAAGGTGTACCAGTCGTGGATGTTGATTTTGTGAAACATTCTCTGATTGGACTATCGATTTGTGCCATAGTCCAATCATATTTAGCACAGGAAAGTGGGCTTGATGTGGCACGGGGGGAAACAAGACTTTGATAAAAAGGCTAGTGGACGCTCTTGCCTCAGGAAGATGTATTGTCTGATGCATGAAAAACTTCGATATCATGTGTTTCCACTAATATTAAGTGAGGCTTGTATCAAAAGGGGAGGTAATTATGGAAGACTCATTTTGATATTTCATTGCATTAATACAAAACATTTAATGGCGAAATTATTTCCCAGTTTATCATATAAAAAATCAGTTGCCTCTTTCAGATAGTGACAAAAGCTCTTTGACACAATTTCAAAATTCATCTGTTGGGGTGTAAGGTGCTGCAATTTACTGTGCAAAGTTATGTCCCTTAGACATGCCAGGATCTTCTTGTTTTAGTCCAGATTTGTCTGCTCTGTCAGCACCATACCATACGTGTTGGTCTACAATCCACCAGCAGACAATTCACACCTGGTGATATAACTGAAATACTGTTCCAAGTTGCATCAAATCACACACTCACTCTCTCTCTCTCTCTCTCTCTTCTTGATAATGACCAAGTGAAAGAGCAGAGCCAAAGAACTAAAACTGATTGGGGAAAAATGATGATTACATAGTTTGCTTCACTGTTACCATGGTTACCCTGTTATCATAAACTAACAACATTTCTCAAATGTTCATGTACCAACACTTCTTGTCAAAATTAATTAATTTAATACCGTATTCGATGTAATAAGCGCGCACAGCGATATTTGCTAATATATTGGCTAGTTAACAATCCCAATTAGCACCCCTTCTGATTGATCAATGTACACAAGACTTATTTATGCACCTTTAATTATGGGCAATTAAATTCTGGAAAAATACATCTGTCGTATATAAACCTTTCAGGCTGTCAGCATAAACCACGAAATTTATCTTTCAACCCTTTTTTTTTCACCAAAATAATATTCTAATAAGAGCCCCCTATACCTAATTTTGAGAGCGCCCTGGGCGCTTATTACGTCGAATACGGTAATATCTTGTAAATTTGCTAACATGCTGAATTTCAATGACCAGAAACCTGAGCACAGCTCAAGTTTAATCAACAAGTTTTACTTTGGCATTCTTTTGATTATAGTTGTATTCTTCAATTTCTGCATGCATTTTGTTGACTTTTGATTTATTTCAAAAAGGTTGTATTTCTTACATGTATTTGTAATTTTACAAGTTTTCTTGACGCAAGCTTTCTAGAATGACTAGATTAGTTCTGGAGTCTTAGCAGTGCTTACAGCAAGCTATGCAAAACATGGTGCAGGAACACCCACTGACATTCCCCACATTCCCCGCATTTTGAAAAGAATAAATTTGATGTTACCAGTGATTAGTTTCTTCATGGTAGGTGTAGCATCCCTTACATATGTTGTCATCCTGTCCCCCCTCCCCCCAAGTGACGTGTCAGAGGAAGTCCTCATTCCTCTGTGCCAGCTAGGGGAACGGGTGGCCCAGTCGCTAAGGCGCCGCGATTCGCTGTGCAGAGTTGTGTCCCTTAGGCACGCCAGAAACCTATGATTGTGGGTTCAAATCCCGGTTCGGCCTGATTATGTTTCTAGGTTTGTCAGCACCATACCCGTGCTCGTGGGTTTCACCGAACTGGTAAACGTCTGAGACCTGCATCACTTCGGGCTTTCCTCCCACATTAAGCTGACACGCCACGATATAACTGGAATACTGTTAAAAGTGGCGTTAAACCCAACTCACTCACTCTGTGCCAGCTAGACATATTGCTTCGTCAGCAATTTTGTAAAGGGCCCTGTACTAAATTTAACTGAAAATGTAATGGAGAAAAATAATAATGGGTCATGTTACATATTTGAAATCTGTGGGAAATTCATAATGGCCATGTGTGAGGGTGAATCATCAGGCATTTAGGACATTGGTTAAAAGTAATCTGAAAATCTTGTGAACACATCAAATACTACAAACTTATCAGAGTAGGAAAATTGTTGGACTTGCCATATGTCATCCCCGTTTCTGTTGTATTCCTTTCCAAATCTAACTAAGCTCTTCATTCTTGTAACATATCCCAGCACAAAGAAATTACATATATATTAGTTGACTGCCTCCGTGTTCTAGTGGTAGAACGTCTGCCTGGAGAGCAAAAGGCCGCGTCATACCTAAAGACGTTAAAAGATGGTACTTGTTACCCTGCGTGGCTTTCTGCATTAAGGGCTAAAACAAGGACTGGTCGGCTCGGAGTATACTGTATCTGAGTGGGGTATTCAGGTTAACTCAGCGGGCGATAAAAATTAACATTAGCCCAGACTAGTACAAGCAGCTCCCCACACACACACGTGCATGCATGTCGCTATATAAGTGCAATAATCTTGGACGCGATGTTAAACCCCATTTCACCTCACCTCATATATATTATTGAAGTTCTCAAAAAACGTGTGTTGTCAGGATATAACAATATGATGTAAGTCGGTAAAGCATCTTTAAGATTAGTGATCACGTTTCAATATTGTATTCTTGCATGGCCATCACCTCTCGACATTCTTGATGTAAATCGTTGTTGTTTCTGTGTAGGACAAGTATGATGATATGTTGATCGGCGTGAAGTCGTCGGCCCTGAAGCTGGGGGATCAGACCAAGCCGTGGCTGGCGGGGTTCTCCAGCCTGATGGTCAGTGGCCTGACTCTGTCCGGCTACCTGTGTGACCAGACCTGGCCCTTCTATGTGGGCGTGGCAGCCACAGCAGCCCATCTCACGCACCAGGTGGGTACTGACAGGTGTCCGCGGGCGTCATTGGAAGCCCGCGTGGAACAAGAAAGCAACGCTATCACTATCCCCTGCCATTGGGCACTTAGACCTTGAGGTGTTTACCTTAAAGCTGATTATCTAAAAGCTTGCACTGCAAACAGGATGCACAAAATCTAAAGCATGGATAAAGGGAAGATAGCTCCGGAAAAAAACAATAACTATGGCATTTGTTTCTTAATTCTGTCTTGACAAGTAAGTCTTAGATAAGCATGCAAAGATTCAACTTCAGAAGTTTGTGAGAAAACTTGTCCACAATGCAGCCTCTATGCACTAAGTAAAACAAAGAAACACGAAAAATAGAAAACATTTAGAAATACAAAAACAGTTCAGCATGTGTTTGATACATATGCATAGTTTCATAATAAAACAATGTTTTTCGGAGTTATGCTCGGGAAACGAAACCTGACGTAAGAACAGCGGCCATTCCTATATCCCCTTCCCACCTTGTGATGGGGGATAATAACGTGTGCACAGCTAGCATCTCTGTAGACCCTGGACATGCAGATGGGAATAGATGGCTCAGTGGTCCAAGATGTCTTTATGGGCGAGGCAGAGTTGTTTTCCTACTGAGCTACCGGGGCAGGTCATGTCATGACTCCAGCTAGTCGATGCTTGTACATGGTTTTTCTCGCACGCTTTGAACAAATTCCTTATATACCCAATGCACTGTTTTATTTTACTATAAGGTATGTTGATGTTTCCTTATTTTTTATTTTTTTAACCGCCACCGTGGTCTAATGGTAGAGCGTCCGCCCGGAGAGCGGAAGGTCCGGGGTTCGATCCCCGGCTGCGTCATACCAAAGACGATTAAAGATGGTACTTGTTGTTACCCTGTCTGGCGCTCGGCATTAAGGGGCTAAAACAAGGGCTGGTCGGCTTGGAGTCAGTATACTGTGTCTGAGTGGGGTATTCATGTTAAACTGAGGCATGGTATCTCAGTGAGCTAGCACTATAAATCGGCATCAGTCCGGATTAGTACAAGCAGCCACACAAACACACACACGTACATGCACGTCGCTATATAAGTGCAATAATCTTGGACGCAACGTTAAACCCGATTTCACCTCACCTCACCTTATTTTTTTTAGGTTTTTCTTGCATTTAGCCGGTTCATAAGTTTGATAAAACACGCCTCCATGGTTTTGGTTGGAAGTGTTAAACCTTGAAAAGCCCTCGGGCGTTCCCTTGCTTGCGGTTTTACATTTTCAACCAAGACCTTGGAGACGTGCTTTATCCTACACATCAGCCCCTGCCTTTGTTCCAGCTGTACACAGTGGATCTCGATAACCCTGACGACTGTGCCGCCAAGTTCCGCTCCAACACCCAGATCGGTGTCATCATGTTCATCGCCATCATGTGTGGGACGCTGCTCAGAGAAGACAAGGCTAAACTAGCCCAGACTGACACACGCGCTGGGATGACACCGTGACACATCTTTCAGAATCTACTTGGTGTGCTTTCTTGTTGATGAGTCTATTGCACTTAGCGATGTTAGAAAAGATGAAAAGATTCCATGGTCTTTCAATTTTTTTGAAGACTTTTTTTTATATGTATGAAACTATAAAATGTCTTGCTTACAATGACATATTTGTCAAATGTCACCTGCATGTTTTTTTGTATAAGACATATTGATGCAATAAAATATGATGCATTTACAAAAAGTTGTTGTTTTTCAACCTTGGGAAAACAAAGATAACCAGTTAAATCTGGAGTGATGAGTGTCTCACTTAGCATATTATATGCTCTGAAAACTGAGCAGTTTTTGCAGAATATGAGATTACGCAATCATACAATTCAGATCAATTCTTTATTATATCTTATATTTGTGATGTACCGGTTAGAGCAGATCCCCATTTTTAGAGGCGACTTGGTTGTCAAAACTACTGGTGCACCGATGATCAGGACCAAAGTTCTTCATAAACGTGAGATATGACAAAAAAACTACTGGTAATGTTTTGGTCAATATTTTATTATTTCCCTCTGCACTGGTGACAGCCAGATGCAACTGTACACTGATAAATATGTTGCCATTATATGGTGGCCCCCCAGTCATTTGTACATATTTACATACATACAGCCTCAACAAACAGGATATAGAAAACAACTGTGTCAAAAGTTACATTCACACTGACACAAATGAACAGGGTGTACAGGTACCTTCATGAGTGAGTGAGTGAGTTTGCTTTTACGCCGCTTTTAGCGATATTCCAGCAATATCATGTCAGGGAACACCAGAAATGGACTTCACACATTGTACCCATGTAAGGAATCGAACCCGGGTCTTCGGCGTGACGAACCATTAGGCTTTAACCACTTCGAACCACGACGAACCACTTCGGCTTTAACCACTAGGCTACCCAACCTTCATGAAGATATACAAGCACATATACCAAAACACTGCATTGAGAGAGAAAAGAAGTTGAAACCCATGAGCTAACTCTGTCTTCATTGATACTACAGCTTCGAATGCCAGACAACTGACAATATGGTCCTAAATAGAACTTGGATGTCAACAGTCTGTCTGCCTGCCTGACAATGTCATTGATAAAGGTAGTTCCATACACTTGGAATAATTTACACCAATATAGAGGACCTACATTGTAATTCAAAACTTGATAAAATTGACATGTATACAATAATTTTATGTTAACACCCAGGAACTGTCACTACGGTCCTGTTTCACAAAGTGCTCACACTGATAGGACACTGTAACTTCTCCCACTTGTAGACGGGACATCACGTCGTCCCACATTGTCCGATGGCCCCTGATCTTGGTATCACCGCTCATGGAACTTAATCCCGAATATTGCCCAACATTATGATCCCGTCAACGTCCCCATCTGATCCCCGGTCTGCAGGGCGGGGTCATGACCCGGCCCCATGCTGCAGGCCCCGTTGTAACAAGTCGACCATCACCGGGTAGATGGGGGCGTACTCCTTGCTCTGTCTCTGCCGAACAAGCTTGGTGTAGGCTTCTAATGTACCCCTGGGAAGAAAAACACAAAATACTTTGGTGAAATCCTGTTATTACAACGATTTTAGAATTAGTGAGTTAAAATTTTACATTGGATCGGCAATATTGCAGCCATATCGCAATGTTTAGAATTAGAGAGAAACCATACCTCTTGTACTCTGTTGTTGATACGGAACCCATTAGGACCTTATCATTTAAGTTTTTTCTTGAAAATTCACAATACCGTGTTTGTACTTGAAATTTGAAATTATTATATTGATATTTCAACATAGTATCATGAACTTTCAACATAATATCTTGTAAGGATAAGATATATGGATGAACAACTTCTTTATTACAATTGCGAGCGAGTTTCGGTGTAGGTTCTAACACCGTTATTAAGCAAGTGACACCGAGAACCTACACCAAAATGTTGCTCCCAATTGTAATAAAGAAGTTGTTCATCCATATATCTTATCCCTACTTAGTAGTTCAACTTCTAAATGCCTCTCAAAGAAGTTATAATATCTTGTAATTTCAACATGTCATCTTGAATATTCAAGGATGTTCAAGAAAAAAGAAAAAAAGTATATGGGCCTAAGGAGCTTCCATCTGTTAAGGCGTTTGTTCGTCACAAGTCATTACATTAGCAACTTGGCCCTTGTCATGGCCCTAAGATGGTGCTTATGTATAGAGAATCTCACCCTCATGTCTTCATATGAAATATATCTTCAGTGTAAAAACTACAGGGAACCAACTTCAGCAATCTCAGTAAAATCAGATCTTAGTTCTCACTACCGCTAAACAAAGATCTGAAGACATCCCATTAGGGGTCACGTCAGAACGACCTTTACATCCGACCAATCAGTGCGTCGCTTACCAGATTGTGAAAGTGACAGTCGGAATGTGATTTCTAATCATGCAATCTCGAAAACTCTAACATGGGGTATTCCGAACGATAGTTACGGGTTTAACGACTGAATCCTTACAATCTAGACCATCTATTAGCCATTCCAGAATGGTTTTTTTGTTCAGGTTTCAAATTTGTAATCGAGAATTTGTCAAAATATGTTTTGAAGCATGTCTCCAATTTGAAATTTGAGCAGTAAAGCACGAAAAAGCTGCCTTCTGATTGGTCAGTCTAAGTTCACGCAAGGTGGGTCTGACGTGACCCGTAATGGGATGTCCTCAGATCTTTGTTTAGCGGAAGCGAGAACTAAGATCTGATTTTAATGAGATAGGGTGAATCTCACCCTCATGTCTTTTCACATGAAATATCTTCAGTATGAAAACTACAGGGAACCAACTTCAGTGGCAGAGATATTTGTGATGTAATTTCATAGGGACATCTTGGCAACCAATGACATCACAATGGTCTGCAGAGCACTGTGATGCAGTTTCATTGTTGATCTCGCCCAATTATATCTCTTGTGGAGCCAGTATTGGATGATAAATAGGCCTTAAATCCCACTCAGATATTCCAAATCCCAATGACAATTCCTGCTCTACATATTCATATAGAATGTCCCCTTACAACTGGAAGCGATGCAAAGTACTTGTGACCATGCAAAACGGAGCATTTTCCTAGTGTTTATATTGTTGACAGACTGCCTACTTACTTGATGAACTTCAGTCTGTCGGCCTCGTCAGGGTGGTCATCCAGCCACTGTGAGTACCGGCTCAGTGACCAGTCGGACGCCTGCAACACAGCATTGTGGGATACTACAGGTTTTGGTTTGTTTGTTGTTTAATGCCGCACTCAGCAATATTCCAGCTATATGACGGCAGTATGTAAATAATCGAGTCTAGACCAGAAAATCCAGTGATTGACATGAGCATCCATCCATCGGAAAATGACATGCATCAACCTTAGTCAGCCAGCCTGACCACGCAATCCTGTTAGTCGCCTCTTACAGTTACAACAAGCATAGTCGCCATTTACGGCAAGCATGGGTTGCTGAAGACCTGTTCTACTCTTTATCTTCGGGATACGGCAGGAGGAACAGGTATATGTGTGGGAGGACTACAGTATTTGGGTCCCCAAACCTGAACAAACGTTTTCATGTTATACGGAAGTTGATGAATGAAAAACGTTCAACTCATGCACATTTCGTTATGTACATTCGAAGCGAGAGGATTTGTAGGGGTTCTGTTAGGGATGATAGACCACCCATTTTTAAGTTGGGTTGGTTTGGACGAGGCCTGGATTAGGTAGAATGCACAGGAACTTGATGATAGTGTGTATAACATAATATACTCGTTTAGAAAAAAATCACACCCCTCTATATACGTAGAGACATTAGTTATCCGTGATTGACATCATAATCTGTGGATGACATTAGTTATCCGTGATTGACATCATAATCTGCGGATGACATTAGTTATCCGTGATTGACATCATAATCTGTGGATGACATGAGTTATCCGTGATTGACATCATAATCTGTGGATGACATTAGTTATCCGTGATTGACATTAGTAATCTGTGGATGACATTATTACCTGATGTGGAGATTTGAGTTCCTGGGGTGCCCGTGCAAACAGGAAGTGTATGGCCGTGCTGTACGGGATTATCTCCCCTAGAGCTGGACTCTGAGCAATATGCTCTTTGGTTTGGAACAACAATGGCCTGTGGGGAAAAAAACCACTTCTAATTAAAACATGTCCTTCCAAAATATAAATTAATGATAACGTAAAAGGCATGTAACAGTGACCTATGGCAAAATAACCAAACAGCTTTCTGAACAAAACAATTTCCACAACATGACTCAAAAGACTACGTCTAGGTATGAGAGTTATAGGTGCATAGACCGGTGTTGCTGAATATAATCGGGCCCCAATGTGATGCAGTTGCTACAGCGACAAAGCAGGGCTCATCATCAGTGGGATCTTGGGTATCGAACCCACAGTGCATGCACACGTAGATGAAAATGACAACACCTTACGCAAAATTAGTCAAAACGACTCACGAGCCAATTACTCTGCTTCCACTCTGGCAATCGGGGGCCCATTCCACAAAGCGGCCTTAGGTCTAAGGTGATCCAACTCCTATACTTCAACCACAGCTTACAACAGCATAGGGTGTGCCCAGCACCTTACTCTAATCCATATTGGGTTGTGTTCCTACCTGAAAGACCGGAGTAGTTTGTATGCCTTGCCGAGATCGGACACCCTTCTGCAGAATGGTGAGATCGCTAGCTCCATCTGTGCGAAGTCGGCAGCTAGTCGCAGCTTTCCCCCCTCACCGAGAGGTCGCGTGAGACTGGCGTGCCGGATAAACAGGTCAGCACACCGACAGGCAACAGGGTGGATGCTGGACGGATAGAATATACAAGGATTCTTAATTTATGATAAAACATAATAAACAGGGATTCCATAGCGTGAATGAAAAGAAATAGGTATTGTCCAACAATTCTATTTAGACTCTCTGAACAAAGTAGGCTATGACGACTAGTGTTCCCGTTTACCGTAATTACCTGTTTTTTTAAATTTAGGCTTGGATTGGTAAATCATGTAACTGCCAGTCCCTGTGGACTGGCAAATAAAGTACTTTATAAATCTTTGTTGTTGAACAAAACATCAGTGATAATGAGTAAAGTGGTCTCAAATCAAAGTGAAATATTCCGGGGAAAAGTGAAAATTGTGACTGAAGTTGTGTGAATGACAAGTAAGTCTCACAAAGTTACTTCAGAGATGACGTCATTGAATTTTTTAGCCATGAATGTTCACAGCATTGTTGATGATGTTGAAAGAATGAAAACTAGGTAACAGACGGACCTTATTCTAGTTGTACTGCTGTGTGACTCACCTGTCCATTATGAAGTCTCGACACCGGAACTGTGAGAGGTAGTCGCCCTGGCATCGTAACACGAAGCCCTGCAATTCCCGCATGTACAGAGAACACTGAGCCTCAGTCTGATTGTCACTGGGGGCGGGGCTACAAGACAGAAATAGAGAGGACAATATATAGAGAACACAGTATCTCAATCTGGTTGTCAGTGGGGGCGGGGCTACAAGACTGACATACAGGACAATATATAGAGAACACTGAGCCTCAGTCTGGTTGTCACTGGGGCCGGGGCTACAAGACAGAAATAGACAAGACAATATGTAGAGAACACAGTATCTCAATCTGGTTGTCAGTGGGGGCGGGGCTACAAGACTGACATACAAGACAATATATAGAGAACACTGAGCCTCAGTCTGGTTGTCACTGGGGGCGGGGCTACAAGACAGAAATAGACAAGACAATATGTAGAGAACACAGTATGTCAATCTGGTTGTCAGTGGGGGCGGGGCTACAAGACTGACATACAGGACAATATATAGAGAACACTGAGCCTCAGTCTGGTTGTCACTGGGGGCGGGGCTACAAGACAGAAATAGACAAGACAATATGTAGAGAACACAGTATCTCAATCTGGTTGTCAGTGGGGGCGGGGCTACAAGACTGACATACAGGACAATATATAGAGAACACTGAGCCTCAGTCTGGTTGTCAGTGGGGGTGGGGCTACAAGACAGAAATAGACAGGACAATATGTAGAGAACACTGAGCCTCAGTCTGGTTGTCAGTTGGGGCGGGGCTACAAGACAGAAATAGACAAGACAATATGTAGAGAACACAGTATCTCAATCTGGTTGTCAGTGGGGGCGGGGCTACAAGAGTGACATACAGGACAATATATAGAGAACACAGTATCTCAATCTGGTTGTCAGTGGGGGCGGGGCTACAAGACTGACATACAGGACAATATATAGAGAACACTGAGCCTCAGTCTGGTTGTCACTGGGGGCGGGGCTACAAGACAGAAATAGACAAGACAATATGTAGAGAACACAGTATCTCAATCTGGTTGTCAGTGGGGGCGGGGCTACAAGACTGACATACAGGACAATATATAGAGAACACTGAGCCTCAGTCTGGTTGTCACTGGGGGCGGGGCTACAAGACAGAAATAGACAAGACAATATGTAGAGAACACAGTATCTCAATCTGGTTGTCAGTGGGGGCGGGGCTACAAGACTGACATACAGGACAATATATAGAGAACACTGAGCCTCAGTCTGGTTGTCAGTGGGGGCAGGGCTACAAGACAGAAATAGACAGGACAATATGTAGAGAACACAGTATCTCAATCTGGTTGTCAGTGGGGGCGGGGCTACAAGACTGACATACAGGACAATATTTAGATAACACTGAGCCTCAGTCTGGTTGTCAGTGGGGGCGGGGCTACAAGACAGAAATAGACAGGACAATATTTAGATAACACTGAGCCTCAGTCTGGTTGTCAGTGGGGGCGGGGCTACAAGACAGAAATAGACAGGACAATATGTAGAGAACACTGAGCCTCAGTCTGGTTGTCAGTGGGGGCGGGGCTACAAGACAGAAATAGACAGGACAATATTTAGATAACACTGAGCCTCAGTCTGGTTGTCAGTGGGGGCGGGGCTACAAGACAGAAATAGACAGGACAATATTTAGATAACACTGAGCCTCAGTCTGGTTGTCAGTGGGGGCGGGGCTACAAGACAGAAATAGACAGGACAATATGTAGAGAACACTGAGCCTCAGTCTGGTTGTCACTGGGGGCGGGGCTACAAGTCTGACATACAGGACAAACATGATGTGCCACCTACCCGGAGAAATCCTCCTGGTGTATGGTGAGGATGATGGCCTCTAGGGCGTCCGAGATGGAAGACAGCAGCGGGTTGATGGCGGCACCCATCAGGGCCACGACTCCCTGAAACAACAGACGCCTTCTACAACACCCAGTAGCACTGAAGATGTGGCGCTAACGAGACGTACCTGTACAGCTGAATTGTGACACTAACGAGACGTACCTGTACAACTGAAGATGTGACACTTGCAGGACATACCTGTACAACTGAAAATGTGACACTTGCAGGACATACCTGTACAACTGAAGATGTGACACTAGCAGGACATACCTGTACAACTGAAGATGTGACACTAACGAGACATACCTGTACAACTGAAGATGTGACACTAACGAGACATACCTGTACAACTGAAGATGTGACACTAACGAGACATACCTGTACAACTGAAGATGTGAGGCTAATGAGACATACCTGTACAACTGAAGATGTGACACTAACGAGACATACCTGTACAGCTGAAGATGTGACACTAACGAGACATACCTGTACAACTGAAGATGTGACACTAACGAGACGTACCAGTAGCACTGAAGATGTGACACTAACGAGACATACCTGTACAACTGAAGATGTGACACTAACGAGACATACCTGTACAACTGAAGATGTGACACTAACGAGACATACCTGTACAACTGAAGATGTGACACTAACGAGACATACCTGTACAACTGAAGATGTGACACTAACGAGACATACCTGTACAACTGAAGATGTGAGGCTAATGAGACATACCTGTACAACTGAAGATGTGACACTAACGAGACATACCTGTACAGCTGAAGATGTGACACTAACGAGACATACCTGTACAACTGAAGATGTGACACTAACGAGACGTACCAGTACAACTGAAGATGTGACACTAACAGGACATACCTGTACAACTGAAGATGTGACACTTGCAGGACATACCTGTACAACTGAAGATGTGACCCTAGCAGGACATACCTGTACAGTTGAAGATGTGACACTAACGAGACGTACCTGTACAGCTGAAGATGTGACACTAACAGGACATACCTGTACAACTGAAGATGTGACACTAACGAGACATACCTGTACAACTGAAGATGTGACCCTAGCAGGAACTACCTGTACAGTTGACGGATGACAAGGTAGACACAATTTTTATGGATAACAACTTCTTTAATACTGTAAAAAGCGACGTTTTGGTATAGGTTCCCTTGTCAAGATTGTGTCTACCCTTTACAGCTGAAGATGTGGCGCTAACGAGACATACCTGTACAGCTGAAGATGTGACACCAACAAGACTTACCTGTAGAGCTGACTCTATGCTGTTCATGGCCTCCTTTGGGTAGGCATCCATTCCACTCATCACCTGGAAGTAGGTACAGGTGTTTACTCGAACACTTCAGGGCTCAAATTGTATATAAGATAGAATTACATATACGAGTGAGAGAGCAAGTGATATTTCTTGCCACTTTATTCATTACCAAGCAATAAGAATGGGCTTCACACATTATATGGAGATAGGCAACTGAACCCGGCTCCTATGATAAGCAAACACCTCAACAACTGGGCTATTATACCCCAACCTGTAGTAATATGATTCAGTTTACTTGTTTGTTTGTTTGCCACATTCTGCAATATTACAGCAATATGACGGCAAATACGGCAGCAAATAATCTCATCAAACCAGACAATACAGTGAATGATATGTGCAAACATCGATGCTATCAGGGTACAATGACATGCAATTGTAGCAGCCATAACATTTCCGAGTCCTGTGATGGGATTCGAACCACGGACTTTCTGATCCAAGGTCGGACGCCTTGTCCACATGACCAAAGAGGTTAACCCCGTCAGCAAGCTGACAAGGTAAGGATGTCATCTGTGGGACGACTCCACGCCCTGCTACATTATAAACCAAGTCGCTTGATCCATTAGTCGCCTCTTGTGACCAGCATCGTTTGTTGAGTACTAGTTCTAACCGTGAGGGCCCAAGAACTATATTCTGGACAACTATAAGATACATTTGAACACACAAGGAGGGTTACCCTGAGAACGGCTTGGTGCAGCTGGTAGAGAGTGTTGACCACGCAGGAGTTCCTGGACTGTCCTGCTGTCGGCGCCCCGATCACCTGGCTGGCCTCGCCGTCCGTCGATAGCTGTGAAGACACGTGAAGCAATGTCATGTAAATATCATACACTTGATGAGACGAATAGTTTCTAAGTGTTGTGAGTGAGTGAGTGAGTGAGTGAGTGAGTGAGTGAGTGAGTGAGTGAGTGAGTTGGGTTTAACGCCGCTTTTAACATTATTCCAGTTATATCACAGCGTGTCAGCTTAATGTGGGAGGAAAGCCCGAAGTGATGCAGGTCTCGGATGTTTACCACTTCGGTAAAGCCCACGAGCACGGGTATGGTGCTGACAAACCTAGAAACATAATTGGGGTGAACTGGGATTTGAACCCACAATCATAGGTTTCTGGCGTACCCAAGGGACGCAACTCTGCACAGCGAATCGCGGCGCCTCAGACGACTGGGCCACCCGTGCCCCCCTCTAAGTGTTGTGATTGTATCAGTGAACAAAGCTATATGATTTGCCCTAGATTGCCATGATAAGACTTTGACAAATAAGGACTGATACTAGTCAAGTTGGCAAGTGCGGTCTCCTTTTGTTTCTCTAAACATCTGTGCTATCCAGGGTCAGTAGTTTACTCTTTCTTTTTTTCTTTTTGTGTCTAGGACATTTCCAAAATATCAACCAAACTTGGTATCATCACAGAGTGAGTGTGTGAGTTTTTCACCGCTTGTAGCAATATTCCAGCAATATCACGGCAGGGAACACCAGAAATGGGCTTTACGCATTGTACATTGTTTGGGAATCGAACCCGGATATAGGCGTGACGGGCTAACACTTTAACCACTAGGCTACCCGACCGGACAATATCATCACAGAAACAGCATATCTATTGTTATAAACTACTGGGTTTTCATGGTTTTCACCACCTGTGATCAACACGTGTGTCCATGTACTGGGAAATACCTACCACCTGTGATCAACACGTGTTTCCACGTACTGGGAAATACCTACCAGTTGTTCACTCTTCACACAGAACAGCTGCACAGTCTTGGCAACGTTCTTGGCCACGGTGACACTAAGCTTTCCGTCCACACTGGCCACATTCAGCTCACTGGCAACACAAAACACACCATGTAACACTGTACAGTGTAACACAAAACATGTACCATGATATACTGTACAGTGTAACACAAAACACACCATGTAACACTGTACAGTGTAACACAAAACATGTACCATGATATACTGTACAGTGTAACACAAAACACACCATGTAACACTGTACAGTGTAACACAAAACATGTACCATGTAACACTGTACAGTGTAACACAAAACATACCATGTAACACTGTACAGTGTAACACAAAACATACCATGTAACACTGTACAGTGTAACACAAAACACACCATGTAACACTCTACAATGTAACACAAAACATGTACCATGTAATACTGTCCGGGCGGAGGCTCTACCTTCAGACCACGGAGGCGGTCACCTTCATTTTGAACAAGTACTGAGCATCAGCCAAACATTACCTTGTTATTGTCTTGACAATGTTGTCCACCTCTTCGTGTGTTGGTGGGTTGGCCGTTCCGCTGGAGAACACCAGATTGATGGGGTCGAACAACCGCGACAGAGACTTGGACAGGTACGCATTCTCGAAGTGGGACAGAGTCTCTCTCAATGCCTTCTCAGAGCTAAAACAATGTGGCATGAGCATTTATCCTCACAAGGGGTTTTACAAAAACATGCTTGTTAGTTACAGCCTCCCTTTTACCTCAATACATGGTGTGCCAAGTACTGTTTCAGAAGAGTGAGTGAGTGAGTTGGTATGGTTTAACGCCGCTTTTAGCAATATTCCAGCAATATCATGGCGGGGGACACCAGAAATGGGCTTCACACATTGTAACCATTTGGGGAATCGAACCAGGGTCTTCGCCGTGATGAGTGAACGCTTTAACCACTAGACTACCACACCGCCCCAGTTTTAGATAAGTGTTTGTGTAATGTTTGTTCGTTTGTTTAATGCCGCATCCAGCAATATTCCAGCTATATGACCGCCTGTAAACATCGAGTCTGGACCAGACAATCTAGTGATCGTTATTGTGAGTAATGATCCACGTCGCCGTGTTATCAACCAAGTCAGTGAGCCTGGCCACCCGATCCTCTTACAACCAGCACCATCTTCCCTAGCAAGAGAGTTAACTGACTATAAAAGTCCAGTTTCCACCCTTGCCGAACTAGGCTGGGATTATGGAGTTACAATTTGCCTGGGCTAACGAGTCTATGCATTGTCCAATCAAAATCGCGCAACGAAATAAAAATCCTGTTTGTAAACTGTCATGCAGCGTTTGGTCGATTGCAGTATTTGCAAAGCATGTGCATCGCCAACTCGTTGTCAACAGATATTTTCCAAATCTTTTCATGTTTTTAATCGAGGTGCTCACGTGATTTGATGTACTTCACGAAGTAAGAACCACAAAATAGATCTTGATGGTCGATCAGATCGTCTTGACTGGGCGCCACCGATTTGTTTGAAGCAAATGCATGTAATACGAGAAGTGGAATCTGATTGGTTCATTAGGGAGAGGCATAGAATAGAATGGTTGTAATAGCCACTGGTGGCACTATGATCGAGCCCAGGAATTCCCGCCAAGTTTCGGCAAGGGTGGAAACTGGACTTTTATAATCAGTTAACTCTCTTGCCTCGGGAAGAAGGACCAGCACAGGTTACAGGGGATCTACTCTAACCTGAGCCTCCATGGGGCTATCTGTAATGGACCAATCAGGCAGGGCTATGACTTAAAACTCACTCGTAAGCATTTTCCTTGTTCCTGGCAGTCTGTACGAAGAAGTCTACTTCTTTGGCGTCGTCTATCGAGGGGACGTCCGGGGCAGCTGTCGGGGTCACCATCATGTTGATGCTGAACTGATGTAGTCGCTTCCACAGATCGTTGTACAGACGCAACAGTTTGGGATATTCACCCTCAAACGCTTGCTTCAGGAACATGGAGGCTGGAGAAGATGGCAAACATCAAACCAATCTCATTAAAATCAGACCTCAGATCTGAACAAAGATCTGAGGACATCCCATTACGGGTCACGTCAGAACGACCTTTCATCCAACCAATCAGAGCATCACTTACCAGATTATGAAAGTGACAGTCGGGATGTGATTTCTGATCATGCAGCCTCGAAAAACTTTAACTCCGAACGATAGTTACGGGTTTAACGACTGTATCCATACAATCTAGACCATCTATTAGTCATTCCAGAATGTCCTTTTGTTCAGGTTTCAAATTTGTAATCGAGAATTTATCAAAATACGTTTCGAAGCAAAGTCTAATTTGAAATTAGTGCCGTAAAGCATGAGAAAGCTGCCTTCCGATTGGTCATTCCATTGGTCGTCAAAGTTCGCGCAAGGTCGGTCTGACGTGACCCGTAATGGGATGTCCTCAGATCTTTGTTTAGCGGTAGCGAGAACTAAGATCTGATTTTAATGAGATTGACATCAAACAATAGTTATCATTGTTAATAATTCTAAGAATACTACCTCTATTACATCAGGAGTACTTCCACCTACCTCCCCAATTCATCTACCTCTAGTGGCTAGACGTTGGAAAGAAGTAGGTTTTCCCGCCATGACGCACGTCATAGCTTGGGTTGCTATAGTGCTATTTGGGAACAACTAATTGTGTGTAATTGACAGTGAAGAGGTTGCTGTTTCCAATCTGAAAATTTAGTTTTAGTTTTAGTGGGAACTGGGGCCTTATCCAGGTCCACAGTGACTTCATAATGAAGTAGATCCCAGTGAAGGTTATAACGGTCGGGGAATGTGTTAAGGCAGGAAATGTGTGTGTTCCCAACTTACTTTCAGCTGCACCATTGAACTCTGTCTTCAACATGTTGGTAACACTCTCCCAGAACTCCTGGATTATGTTCACGTCTCCATGACGATGCTGCAAGAAGATTAACCCTGATATTTTTCTAGTATTCTGTATTATGAGTTTATCATACCCCAAACATCTTGGCGTCAACACAATACAAATGAGTCAAGTCGTGTCAAACAACTTCAATCCATAAAGATTTCATGATTGAATGGAAGAAGAGAATCCCAAATTTCAGGCCACAATCACGACACAAACTGAATTTGTAGAATTATTGAAATGAGGAAACTAGCACATCATGTATCGTATCATAGGATGATGAGTTACAGTGAATAATCATGACGCAGCTCAAAAATATTCAGTTATGCTCAGACTATGTCAAGTATATGTTAGTGACCCCTCCAAGATGATATGGATTTCAAAGCTTGAGGTTCTTACTTTACTTACTTACTTTGGTGATTTAACGTGCGCTTTCCGACTGATGCGTATTTCGCACACGGGCCCGGCCAGGCCATTTAATGTTTCCGAAAGGGGCGAAGGTGGTCTGTGCAACCCAAGAGGGGGGTTTTAGGGGTTGCTTATATAGAATTTGGGAATTTTGAGATTTGGAATAGATGCCGATTGGATTTGGGAGGAGAACTAAGGGAGCTGGGTATGGTGGATGTTTGTTTGTTTATGTGATTTTGATTTGGTAGGTTATTGTGTTTTTAGATGCGTTTTATTAGTTCCGTTTTTATTAAGAATACGCCTAAGGCCTTGAAGTTTTCTAGTTTATTTTGTGGGTTTAGTATTGCTTCTAGAGTTAGAGCTTTGTTTAGATTGAGGGTGGTTTGTAATGCGGTTCGATGTGTTAGGTAGTGTGTGCAGTGGATGAGTGCGTGTTCTGGGGTTTCTGGTTGTTTGCAGTGTGGGCAGTTACCTGTAGTGTGTTTTTTAAATTTTTTTAGGTTCGAGAGTGTTGAACCTATATATCAGCCGCAGAGGGGGTGCCAACCTACTGGCTACGAACACGATGCATTTTACACAAAAATGCAAAACCCTCAAAATGCTAATGGTCACTGCCCCACCCCCAGCTGACTACTCCCTGATGGTCACTACTGCCCCACCCCAAGCTGTCTACTCCCTGATGGTCACTACTGCCCCTACCCCAGCTGACTGCTCCCAGATGGTCACTACTGCCCCACCCAGCTGACTTCTCCCTGATGGTCACTGCCCCACCCCCAGCTGACTGCTCCCTGATGGTCACTGCCCCACCCCCAGCTGACTGCTCCCTGATGATCACTACTGCCCCACCCCCAGCTGACTGCTCCCTGATGGTCACTACTGCCCCACCCCCAGCTGACTGCTCCCTGATGGTCACTGCCCCACCCCCAGCTGACTGCTCCCTGATGGTCACTACTGCCCCACCCCCAGCTGACTGCTCCCTGGTGGTCACTGCCCCACCCCCAGCTGACTGCTCCCTGATGGTCACTACTGCCCCACCCAGCTGACTGCTCCCTGATGGTCACTGCCCCACCCCCAGCTGACTGCTCCCTGATGGTCACTACTGCCCCACCCAGCTGACTGCTCCCTGATGGTCACTGCCCCACCCCCAGCTGACTGCTCCCTGATGATCACTACTGCCCCACCCAGCTGACTTCTCCCTGATAGTCACTGCCCCACCCCCAGCTGACTGCTCCCTGGTGGTCACTGCCCCACCCCCAGCTGACTTCTCCCTGATGGTCACTACTGCCCCGACCCCAGCTGACTGCTCCCTGATGGTCACTACTGCCCCACCCCCAGCTGACTGCTCCCTGATGGTCACTACTGCCCCTACCCCAGCTGACTGCTCCCAGATGGTCACTACTGCCCCACCCAGCTGACTTCTCCCTGATAGTCACTGCCCCACCCCCAGCTGACTGCTCCCTGATGGTCACTGCCCCACCCCCAGCTGACTGCTCCCTGATGGTCACTACTGCCCCACCCCCAGCTGACTGCTCCCTGGTGGTCACTGCCCCACCCCCAGCTGACTTCTCCCTGATGGTCACTGCCCCACCCCCAGCTGACTGCTCCCTGATGGTCACTGCCCCACCCCCAGCTGACTGCTCCCTGGTGGTCACTGCCCCACCCCCAGCTGACTGCTCCCTGATGGTCACTACTGCCCCGACCCCAGCTGACTGCTCCCTGATGGTCACTACTGCCCCACCCCCAGCTGACTGCTCCCTGATGGTCACTACTGCCCCTACCCCAGCTGACTGCTCCCAGATGGTCACTACTGCCCCACCCAGCTGACTTCTCCCTGATGGTCACTGCCCCACCCCCAGCTGACTGCTCCCTGATGGTCACTACTGCCCCACCCCCAGCTGACTGCTCCCTGATGGTCACTACTGCCCCGACCCCAGCTGACTGCTCCCTGATGGTCACTGCCCCACCCCCAGCTGACTGCTCCCTGATGGTCACTATTGCCCCACCCCCAGCTGACTGCTCCCTGATGGTCACTACTGCCCCACCCCCAGCTGACTGCTCCCTGATGGTCACTACTGCCCCACCCCCCGCTGACTGCTCCCTGATGGTCTCTACTGCCCCACCCCCAGCTGACGGCTCCCTGATGGTCTCTACTGCCCCACCCCCAGCTGACTGCTCCCTGATGGTCACTATTGCCCCACCCCCAGCTGACGGCTCCCTGCATCCCTACCTTGGCCAGCTCCTCTATGAAGCACACATGGGTGACGGGGTCTCGCTTCTTCACAAGCACTTTCTGGAGATGCTGAATCTGAACAAACAAACATGCCAGATAACGTGTGCTTAACACCTGGTTGATAAAGGTACCAACATCTGATCCAAAAGTCAAAATCTAAAAGAGAACTCTGTCTTCATTGAACTTAAAAACATAACTGCCACATGATATTGTAACATGTTTAGTGTCTCTTCTGTGCACAAAACACAGCCTTGGGACAGACTTATAGGGAGGCTGAGATGTGAACATTTAAATATCCCCAACTCAACCATCTTCCTGAGGCAAGAGAGTTAACTGACTTTTCCACCCTTGCCGAACTAGGCTGGAATTACTGGGCTCGATTGTAGCGCCACCAGTGGCTATCAAAAGTTATGTCCCTTCTAAGCCTCTCCTATGGACCAATCAGATTCCACCTCTTGTATCACTTGTGTTTGCTTCACACAAAATGGTGGCGCCCAGTCAGGACGATCTGATAGATAATCAAGATCTATATTGTGATAAAACGGGTCTTACATCGCGAAATGCATCAAATCACGTGAGCACCTTGATTAAAAACATGAAAAGATTTGGAAAATATCTGCTGACAACGAGTTGGCGGTGCACATGCTTTGCAAATCCTGCAATCGACCGAAATCTGCACGACAGTTTACGAACGGATTTCGATTTTGGTGCGCTATTTTGATTTGACTGTGTATAGACTTGTTAGTCTAGCAAAAATGTAACCCCATAAACCCAGCCTAATTCGGCAAGGGTGGAAACTGGACTTTTATAGTCAGTTAACTCACTTGCCTCGGGAAGATGCCTCTCAACACTCCCGTACTCCTGTGATATCTAAATGTTACAACCATTGCAGGTTATGGTTTAGAACTTAATAAACTGACATATCTTCAAGTGTTTATAACTTTTCTGAGAGTCGTCAGAATGTAATAACTGATACTTATGGGTAACATATAGCATGGTTATTATTTCAACAGACAACCTTCACTGTATCCATCACATAGTCAAGTAACACCTCACACATGTAACTTAACATAGAAGTTGTTACGAGAATGATAAACACAGCTAAAATAGCTCACCCTGTCACCCCCCTCCTGGTTAATTCCCCCCCCCCCCCTACACACCTGGGCACACGAGGCGTAGATGCTGTCCATCAGCTGCTCCATGTTTGTCCACAGTGAGGCTCTCATGGCGGCCGTGTTGCCTGGTGCCGGCATGGCAGCTTTTCCAGGACCTGCAGCACAACGTCAAGAGCTGTAGAATACTGTTCAAGTCACACACTGTATTTGTTCTGCAGGTAACTCTGGACTAGATAATGTCAGGAACTTAACAACTAACTTAATATAATATAAATATAAACCCTAGACCACATGATTAGTTATCTATAATCTATACAAATCTATTACTTAATAAATATAATCCTCATCATATTAACCACCATAGACTGTCATGCTTATTTAGGAGATAATGGGTAAATTAGATGTTGATGTTTGTAGTTATACTATATATATGTCTAACCGCTGCTAGCTCCCTGTGCTATATACATGTCTAACCTCTGCTAGTTCCCTGCGCGTGTGACAAGGTCTGCACGTTGAGACAACTCCTCACACTGCCGTGCAGTGCCTCCTTGCTATATACATGTCTAACCTCTGCTAGTTCCCTGTGCGTGTGACAAGGTCTGCACGTTGAGACAACTCCTCACACTGCCGTGCAGTGCCTCCTTGCAGCCGTTGATGACTCTCTCCACCACTGTGTGGAGACTGGCCAGGTTGTGGAACACCTGCAGGGCTGTGGCCACCTGGGTCTGGTTCTGTGGAGCATGGCAGTCATGTAGTGGACATTTACACAGGTGAACACAATACACGGATAAATCATTCGTTTCAGTGAGTTTCAAAGAGTCCACAGCGTAAACCCTCTAAGTTCGTTTTTTTTGGTAGGGCGCCAAACCTAAGTTTTTTGGAGTCAACAAATATCTTAAACAGATATTGTTGTCAGTTATGTTGACTTTCTGGTAGCCAAATGGTGAGCAGTAGATAAATTTAGGTTGCCAATCATCGATTTAAGGCATTTGGCCACCAAAATGGTCGCAACTTAGAGGGCTGAATATTACTGCAATCATCACTAGATATTTAGCTGACAGAGAGGTGTGTGAGACAGGTGTGGGAGACAGGTGTGAGAGAGAGGTGTGTGAGAGAGGTGTGTGACAGGTGTGGGAGACAGATGTGCAAGACAGGTGTGGGAGACAGGTGTGTGAGACAGGTGTGTGAGACAGGTGTGTGAGACAGGTGAGCGAGACAGGTGTGGGAGACAGGTGTGTGAGACAGGTGTGTGAGACAGGTGTGTGAGACAGGTGAGCGAGACAGGTGTGGAAGACAGGTGTGTGAGACAGGTGTGGGAGACAGGTGTGCGAGACAGGTGTGCGAGACAGGTGTGGGAGAGAGGTGTGGGAGAGAGGTGTGTGAGACAGGTGCGTGAGACAGGTGCGTGAGACAGGTGTGCGAGACAGGTGTGGGAGACAGGTGTGCGAGACAGGTGTGCGAGACAGGTGTGTGAGACAGGTGTGTGAGACAGGTGAGCGAGACAGGTGTGTGAGACAGGTGTGTGAGACAGGTGTGTGAGACAGGTGTGTGAGACAGGTGAGCGAGACAGGTGTGGGAGACAGGTGTGGGAGACAGGTGTGTGAGACAGGTGCGTGAGAGAGGTGTGTGAGACAGGTGTGTGAGACAGGTGTGCGAGACAGGTGAGCGAGACAGGTGAGCGAGACAGGTGTGGGAGACAGGTGTGGGAGAGAGCTGAGCGAGACAGTTGTGGGAGACGGGTGTGGAAGAGAGGTGTGTGAGACAGGTGAGCGAGACAGGTGTGGGAGACGTGTGCGAGAAAGGGTAAGCGAGACAGGTGTGTGAGACAGGTGTGTGCGACAGGTGTGGGAGAGAGCTGAGCGAGACAGGTTTGGGAGACGGGTGTGGAAGAGAGGTATGTGAGACAGGTGTGTGAGACAGGTGTGTGTGAGACAGGTGTGGGAGACAGGTGTGGGAGACAGGTGTGGGAGATAGGTGTGGGAGAGAGGTGTGTGAGACAGGTGTGGGAGACAGGTGTGTGTGAGACAGGTATGTGGGACAGGTATAGGAAACAGGTGTGTGTGAGACAGGTGTGTGAGACAGGTGAGTGTGAGACAGGTGTGGGAGACAGGTGTGGGAGACAGGTGTGGGAGAGAGGTGTGTGAGACAGGTGTGGGAGACAGGTGTGGGAGACAGGTGAGTGTGAGACAGGTGTGTGAGACAGGTGTGTGAGACAGGTGTGGGAGACAGGTGTGCGAGACAGGTGTGGGAGACGGGTGTGTGAGACAGGTGCGTGAGAGAGGTGTATGAGACAGGTATGAGAAACAGGTGTGTGTGAGACAGGTGTGGGAGACAGGTGTGCGAGACAGGTGTGGGAGACGGGTGTGGAAGAGAGGTGTGTGAGACAGGTATGGGAGACAGGTGTGGGAGACAGGTGAGTGTGAGACACGTGTGTGAGACAGGTGTGTGAGACAGGAATGGGAAACAGGTGTGTGTGAGACAGGTGTGTGAGACAGGTGTGGGAGACGGGTGTGGAAGAGAGGTGTGTGAGACACGTGTGTGAGAGAGGTGTGTGAGACAGGTGTGAGAGACAGGTGTGCGAGACAGGTGTGTGAGACAGGTGTGCGAGACAGGTGTGTGAGACAGGTGTGGGAAACAGGTGTGTGTGAGACAGGTGTGCGAGACAGGTGTGCGAGACGGGTGTGGGAGAAAGGTGTGTGAGACACGTGTGTGAGACAGGTGTGGGAGACAGGTGTGTGAGACAGGTGAGTGTGAGTGGCACTGTTACCTGAGTCTCCATCCCCTGCTCCAGCATCTTCTGTGCCTGTGTCTCCACCTCCTTCCTCGCCTGCTTGATGAACCGCCGGTCCGTGTCAATCACCTCGATACCACTCAGGTCCACTCCTTCACACACATAATCTGTCAAGACATAAACATTCTGTTTCAGCGACTGGTCAACAATCTACAAACATTCCTTGATGCAGCCTATCATCATTGCAAATCAGTGCAACCGAGCATCATTGCAACCGGTCATCAGTGCAACCGATCATCAGTGCGACCGGTCATCAGTGCAACCTGCAATAACACCCTGTCAGTCTGGACCCAGTAGCCTTTGAATGGCATTTAGAAGTCATTCACATAAGGAAGAGAACTTATGGATATCAACTTTTTTATAATGAGGAACACAACATTTTGGTGTAAACACTTACTCCTTCATCAGGTGAATTGAGTATATACTCCAAAACATTGTGTTCCTCACAAACAAGAAGTATATACTGTGAAACGTTTTGGTCCTCATAACATCCATAAATTGTTTTCCTCATGGACTTAGTGATACCGTGGCAATCTGGTTGCTCAAATTGCTAGTTTAATTACTTGACAGTGTGTAGTCCAAGTCATTGTCTTCAGAGCAGTATTTCCCAACGGCAATGACTTGGACTACTCACTGTCAAGTAATTAAACTGGCAACTTGACCAACCAGATTGCCACGGTATCACAGTTTTTAAACATGGATATATTATTCCTCTTAACATACATTTGAACTTTGATTGAATTGTATGGTTTCATCAATTCGATAAAAACAAACAACAATGTTTAAAAACACCTACTACCGAATTTTTGCTTTCAGAAAAAGTGTGCTTCGTATCAGATTATTATAATTTCTTGTCAACTATCTTAATGTTCCACTTTACACTTGTGACACTTCAGTCACCCATCTTTGAGATACAATCGCAGGTCTTGAGATACATTAAGTTTTGTGTACAATGGTCAATCGGAAGGGGCACTTATTAGGATTGTTCACTTGCCCATACATAAGCAAATATTGCTGTGGGAGCTTATAAGAGTGGGGTGCTAATTACGTTGAACATGGTACATGACTGTGACAAATCCTACCCAGTTCATTGAGACTCTGTGCAGCCTTGGTTATCTCCCTTGAACCACCTTGCAGCTGGGTGTGGAGGCGCCGGCTGAGGTACATGATGCGGATGATTCTACGCAGCAGGTCACACGTCTCCTGCGGGGAGGAGCATATCAGTTATGTCAGCCTAATGTGAGTGAGTGAGTGAGTGAGTGAACGAGTGAGTGAGTGAGTGAGTGAGTATAAATTGATATTGCCATGCAACTCACTGTCGCAGTTGTAGTAGCATATCTATATAATTATGCAAAACAATATGTAAAGCGCCCCCAACTACTTGCATTAGTCCGACCCAATACTCTCCAACCCATACCTGTAAATGCCTGAGCTGGATATCAATACTCTCAAACCCATACCTGTAAATGCCTGAGCTGGCTATCAATACTCTCCAACCCATACCTGTAAATGTCCGAGCTGGATATCAATACTCTCCAACCCATAACTGTAAATGCCTGAGTTGGCTATCAATACTCTCCAACCCATACCTGTAAATGCCTGAGCTTGTTATCAATACTCTCCTACCCATACCTGTAAATGCCTGAGCTGGGTATCAATACTCTCCAACCCATACCTGTAAATGCCTGAGCTGGGTGTCAATACTCTCCTACCCATACCTGTAAATGCCTGAGCTGGGCATCAATACTCTCAAACCCATACCTGTAAATGCCTGAGCTTGTTATCAATACTCTCCAACCCATACCTGTAAACGCCCGAGCTGGCTATCAATACTCTCCTACCCATACCTGTAAATGCCTGAGCTGGGTATCAATACTCTCCAACCCATACCTGTAAATGCCTGAGCTGGGCATCAATACTCTCCTACCCATACCTGTAAATGCCCGAGCTGGCTATCAATACTCCCCTACCCATACCTGTAAATGCCTGAGCTGGCTATCAATACTCTCCAACCCATACCTGTAAATGCCTGAGCTGGGTGGTCCGTGCCAGTATCTTGCTGTACGGCTCCGACACCTTTGTCCTGATTCTGAAAAGCAAATACGCTTTATAAGTTTCCGTTTATAATGCTTATGACTAACTCATGTCTCGTTACCTTTTGGAATCACTATAACGATATATTTTAGAGCACTTAATGCGATTATCTTAACCTGGAGTTCATTATTAAAAAATAATATGTAAACTTTGTAACCTGTTGTACATAAGGTCTCAGTGTCCTTTCTCAACCATTGTTTTCAGATTGATTGTTGTTTAATGAAGCACTCCGCATTATTCCAGCTATATGACGGCGTTCTGTAAATTATTAAATCTGGACCAAACAATCCAGTGATTGACATCATAAGGATAGATCTACGCAATTGGGATATGATGACATGCATCAACCAAGTCAGCGTGCCTGACAACCCGACCCCGTTAGTTGGCTCTTACGACAAGAATGATTGCTGAAGTCCTATTCTAACCCATGACAGTGTTAAATACATGACAGTGTTAAATACATGACAGTGTTATATACATGACAGTTAAATACATGACAGTGTGTTATTTACACAGCCTGACTCACCTATCCATGGCTGCAAGGAGAGACTGTGTACGGGTCTGCATCATCTGCAGAACTCCTGCAAATAACAGAGTGGTCACATCAACAACAGAGTGGTCACAATAACAACAGAGTGGTCACATCAACAACAGAGCAGTCACATTAACAACAGAGTGGTCACAATAACAACAGAGTGGTCACATCAACAACAGAGTAGTCACATCAACAACAGAGTGGTCACATCAACAACAGAGTGGTCACATCAACAACAGAGTGGTCACATCAACAACAGAGTGGTCACATCAACAACAGAGTGGCCACAATAACAACAGAGTGGCCACAATAACAACAGAGTGGTCACATCAACAACAGAGTGGTCACATCAACAACAGAGTGGTCACATCAACAACAGAGTGGTCACATCAACAACAGAGTGGTCACATTAACACCAGAGTGGTCACATTAACAACAATCTCATTAAAATCAGATCTTAGTTTTTGCTACCGCTAAACAAAGATCTGAGGACATCTTATTACAGGTCACGTCAGAACTACCTCTTGCAAACTTTGACGGATCAATGAAATGACTGACAAGAAATCGACATTAGCCAATCAGAAGGCAGCTTTCTCGAGCTTTACAACACTAGTTTCAAACTGGCGACTGCGCTTCGAAACATATTTTGACGTATTCTTGGTTAAAATTTGTAAAAATGATAAAAAGAACATTCTGGAATGGCTTACAGATGGCCTAAATTGTATGGATATAATGATAAAACCCATAACTGTCGTTCAGAATACCCTCAGTTAAATATTTCAGGGTTGCAGGATTAGAAAACACATTGTCTGTCACTTTCATGATCTGGTAAGCGACGCTCTGATTGGATGAAAGGTCGTTCTGAATTGACCCGTAATGGGATGTCCTCAGATCTTTGTTTAGCGAAAGCGAGAACTAAGATCTGATTTTAATGAGATTGCATTAACAACAGAGTGGTCACATTTACAACAGAGTTAAGTCTTTGGTAGGCATTTAGAAGTTGGAATAACACGAATACATGACACTTTTTATGGATAGCAACTTATTCTTTGTCACGACGTTTCAGAGCTACTTCATCAGGTGAATCAGTGTTATTCACCTGATGAAGGAGCAAGGAGTAGATCTGAAACATCTTGACAATCCTGATGAAGATAACTTTACCTTCGAGGGTTTCCACACTTGTAGCTTGTGACAGCAGGTCTTCATGGTGCTCCACAATCTGAAAACAGGGATTCCTCACATATCAACACTTGCCACAGATAGCCTCACAACTACTTGATAACCTTACAGACACTGCCTCCGTGGTCTTGTGGTAGAGCGTCTGCCCGAAAGTGGGAGGTCCGGGGTTCGATCCCCGACCCCGCCATACCAAAAGACGTTAAAAGATGGTACTTGTTGTTACCCTGTCTGGCACTTGGCATTAAGGGGCTAAAACAAGGACTGGTCGGCTCGGAGTCAGTAGACTGTGTCTGAGTGGGGTATTCATGTTAAACTGCCGCATGGTATCTCAGTGAGCTAGCTCTATAAATCGGCATCAGTCCGGACTAGTACGTGCAGCCACACACACACACACGTGCATGCACGTCGCTATATAAGTGCAATAATCTTGGAACACAACGTTAAACCCCATTTCACCTCACCTTACAGGGTACAATGTTTCATTCTGTTTTATCACCTGCACAAGGAGCAACAAAGTAAATTAATTGGGTTGCACCACCAAAATATTGGCTGCACGACTTTATCATAAATTGAAACACTGTATTTTCGTTTATTTTGAATATTAAATAAATTCAAAGAGAAAGTAAACTTGAGGATGTGATTCAGTGTTTTATTTTGAGGAAATCTATATATGGCTTTTCACACCTTATATCCAGTAAACAACTGAAACAGAAGTTTCAAATTGATTGTTTGTTGTGATTGTAACCGCATGAGTGACTGTTCATCATGTTCATGTGGTATTTGTGAAGAATTAGTTCTGCAAGTTCGCTACATTCAGACATGTGTATTTCAGTATTTTAAGGAATTTTTGTTTCCTGGATTCGAAAAGATTTGCAGCCAGTTCTTAAAGATTTCATTTTTCCACTGTAATCAAATATAATTGCTGCTGTGCAATTGTGGTTGGTTAAGTTACCTGCACTGGGTGCAACCTGGCAATAATGGTTACCTGCACATGCAAAGTTTTGCCTGCACTGGTGCAGCTTGGATATAACAAAGACATATGTGAAACCGATCCCTGCCTTAAATCAATGTTATCCAATCATTGATAATGATATTCCATTATTTGGTGGGAAATAAACACTTGCTATGAAAAATGATCAAAACTGTTCCATTCAAGTAACTCTGTAATTTTGATAATGTGAAACATGTTTAACACATTATTTTTTGTCAATAATTATATGTATCCTGTCTTTTGGAATTTTGAAAAAAATGGTTTATCATAAGCAAATAATTTGTTTTTGTTGACCTTACCTACATGATTTGTGTAATTTGTCATGCTTATCATTGCTTGACACGAAGTACTCTACTTTACCTGTGAATGTATTTCCTTGTCTAACAGTGAGATGCCCTCTGCTAGCTTCCCCAGCTGTTCAGAGATAGCAAGGCCTTGTATGGCTCGGTTAGCGTGGGCCTTGACATCAAAGGACTCCTCCAGAAACTTCTTGAAAACATCTGAAACAACAAGAATATTTCACTCACCTGACCAAAAAATGTTTGATCTTGTTGACAGCCAGATATGTAAAAATTGAAATCTTAATCATGTTAATTTTCACCAAAGGCTTTGATACCAAATAAATGCAAAATCACTAAATAATCTCAACTGTTAGTGTCACCAGGGAATAATACATGATTAACATGGATTAATTTATCTAGACCTGCTCAGAGGCTGATATTAGCCCCCATGTCTGAAACAAATATCAGTAAAAATTCCCAAATTGGAATAAAAAACATAAATAAGTAGCGGCCATACAATTTCTGAGTCCTGTGATGGGATTCGAACCATGGACCTTCTGATCAGAGGTTGGACGCCTTGTCCACATGACCAAAAAGGTTAACCCTGTCAGCAAGCTGACAAGGTAAGGATGTCATCTGTTGGACGACTCCACGCCCTGCTACATACTTCCCTGTCAACAGAAGGCGTGTCCGGGGCGGCATAGTAGGGTATTGAGACTTATTTTGCTCAAATTTATTATGTATTATGAACGTGCTCAGCCCCACGTTGGGCGCTAATGTTGCGGCCGTAAAACTCCAAGTCCCATGATTGGATTTGAACCACGGACCTTCTCATCAGCTGATCAGAGGTCGGACGCCTTGTCCACATGACCGAAGACAAGGTAAGGATATCATCTGTGGGATGACTCCACGTCCTGCTACAAATACATATCATCATATTTAACTGCAGCATAAAGGAGACACTGCCCAATGACCTTGTGATTACCGATACCTAGTTCCTAGTAACCTATCTAGTGAGATGACGTGCATTAAACAGATACAATGATTTGAGAACCACAAAAATGAGCTTGCACTGGTGTAGTCATTTCTCACATAAAGTAGGCTACATATGGGTTCATTTACCTTGATCACTGTTTTTCAGATTTTCATTGTCATGTATAATTAAATGAGCTCATTAGATTCATAACTACCTAATTCTGTAGAGTGTAAATCTTTAGAACATGTCCGCAAAGGGAGATAAATCTGCTAAAATATGTAAACACTCTCCCTGTCAAAATTCACAGGCTATATCAGATGAATTACGATTGCCACACTCAGAATGCTTTTGCAGACATCTTCTAGAGCATAAAGGTTTAAATCGACGATGAACTTAATGTGCATCAACATGGAATTATCCCGTAGTCAAGATACTTACCATCTCTTTCCAACAAATGTAACACGTCGGCATCCATCTTACTTCCGTGATTCCGAATGTAGCCGGAGTTTGCCGAATTACACGTTTATTGTATTATACAATACATTTTGTCAATACCGGTCTTTCGTGTCATGCAATCAATTTAAACAAATTATGAAGATAACATGTTCACACAGAAAACATCTATGCGTTCCCTGAAAAAGATTTGTCCGTGAAGGTGAAGGACGTTTCTAAAAAGGACAACACAACCATGTGGCCTGCAGTTCCTCAACTGCAGAAACGTTATCTGATCATAATCTGAATCAACTTGTTTGGAATTTGCAGTTCGTTACTATAGCTCCACATATTAATGTAAGATAAAGTTCGAAATGTACTCTTGCCGATGTCTCTTTTTTTTGCACGGGGGCTATAACTGCCTCATACGACAGTAGAGTCACAGCTGATCACTGAATCAGGAAACTGGGACTTGGCTTTACGAGTGTCAAATTGCCAAAGATGTTTACCTGGCTGATATAGAACTTGCATATATTTGTTTTAATTTCATTTCAGGTTTGTACATATATGTATTATGTATAATTAGTTGTTAGTTTCATCAGTCAGTTATAACAGTGTATCACCTGTTTTACCTACTAATTGCCCCATGGCCAGTAGGATCTGTTATGATCTATCATTCGGGAGCAGGTAAAAAAATCCATTTAATGGACGAGGTCCAATGGTCCTAGTTGTTGCAATCAATAGCATTGTCAGTGAGTTCGAATCGCAGAGGTAGTGTCTAGGGCTGGGATGGGTAACTCAGGTACTCGGGTCAGGTGGGTCCTGAGTAGGATTTGGCAGAGACCATATAATAGATTATCTATTATATGGACTCTGGACTCGGGTACCCACAGGACTACCCAGACCCATTAGTCACATGATATATTGTTTAATGACAAAAATTATCTTAAAACTCTATGGTTACACTACAAGTCACTAATGTTCGAGGACCATTTCTTTCTGACAATGCACCCATTCCTTCCGACTTTTATATGTTTGAATAAAGACAAAACTTCATGCTGTAAACTTCAGTGTATGCATGACCAGATCGTTTTACACGTGTAACTAAGTACATTTTGCCAGGGCTACAGTCAAACTTTTCCAAATCGGTCAGTTTGTACCTATCTCTTAATATCTACAACGGGGACCTGGGTAGGGTCAGGTAATAGAGTGGTGGTTACCCGGGTAGTAAATTTGGACTCGTCCCAGCACTAGTAGTGTCCATGATGGCATGGTATGTCAGCACAATATTATTCATTTGTACGTGTATGATATTCTGATTACTGTTATCTAAATTTGATATATATAATTGATTATTAAATTTGGTATAATTTTGTAAGGTGGCTATTGTTCAAATGGGGCTTTAGTTGTGCAAATGCTGGTGTTGGTATGACAATTTGGTTGCCTGTTAAATATAGAGAGGTCCAAAGCCAAATTCTGCCAAATCTTTACGCAAGGGGAGTGACAGTATCTTTGGTTTGGGTCCTGTCTGCCTTGCTCGGCGGTGGAACAGCTTGACCCACGATAGGGACTGTAAACGTGTAATGGGTCTGCGGTAGGACCATTGCATGGCGGCCCTTGCCTGCATCATTCACACTGTGCCCTTTAATCCCACAAAACATCTTTGCTTTAAATTTAAGTTTAATTATATTTTCCTTCTATGGTAGGCTGGCCATACTAGACATGTTGAACCTGATTCACTTATAAGTAATACCCGTGAAGACCCAGGCTAGAATAGATCTTCAGCAAACCATGCTTGCCGTAAAGAGTGACTATGCTTGTCGTAAGAGGCGACTAACGGGATCGGGTGGTCAGGCTTGCTGACTTGGTTGATACACGTCATTGTATCCCAATTGCAGGGATCGATGCTTATGATGTCAATCACTGGATTGTCTTGTCCAGACTTCAGTATTTACAGACCGCCCTAATATAGCAAGGATATTGCTGAGTGTGACGTCAAACAACAAACCAACAGCAACACTTGTTAATCACTTCAAGCTGTACATATGCTGTAACTGTGTCCGACTTCTGTCTGTGACAGTCTATGTCACCACTTGCACTGCAACTTAGTGAGTGAGTTGGGTTTAACGCCCTTTTAACAGTATTCCAGTTATATCGCGGCATGTCAGCTTAATTTGGGAAGAAAGGCCGAAGTGATGCAGGTCTCAGACGTTTACCACTTCGTTGAAACCCACGAGCATGGGTATGGTGCTGACAAACCTAGAAACATAATCGTGGTGAACCGGGATTCGAACCCACAATCATAGGTTTCTGGTGGGCCCAAGGGATGCAACTCTGTACAGTGAATCTAGCGCCTTAGACGACTGGGCCACATGTGTCCCCTGCAACCTACTGAAGCAATGTGTTTTGTGTTGCTGCAGGTGTTACAGATGACAGGTGTTCCGTGTGATGGGGAATGATTGAGGGGGAACATGAGGAAGACGTAGACAACACCTGCTCCAGTAGTCCACCAGTATGGAAAATTTGAGGACAGAAATGTCCGCTGTCACCCTGTGCTGTGACAATGGTAACCATGGTGATCTGGAAAAAGAATTTACATGGAAGAAACCACTTGAACTGTTTTCTGAGAAGAAAGTGGTCAAGATGTGTGCCCCCATGGTCAGATACTCCAAGTAAGTATTTCTGTCATACAGCATCTCCTTTACAGTCTAGGATATTTACCATCCCCAAACACACAAGCGTGATAACCTCTTTCTCATATAATGTCATTCTTTAATTCTGTGCTTCAAAATCGCTTTCCCTCTCTCACATACATAACCGAAACATTGCGAGTTTTTCTGGAATGCGCGCATTAATATTTATTACGTCACAGGGTAAGTGATGTGTCAGTCGGACAGTGACAGTAGCCAATATAGTTCCAACTGAAATCTGTTTCTTATACAGTGGCGAAGCAACATATATGCAAAACAACAATTGTTTTTAATTGCCTTTCGCGGCAATCCATCTGTCTGTCCGCTAGAGTAACTGCCCTTTGTCAAAGGGAAGCTACTCTAACCTTAGTCTATGAGACGTCACGGCCACGGTCAGTCGTTGTTGACAGTCGGTCTGTCCTGTCATAACGTTAAGAAGTGTAGTCAGATGTACACACAGCGACAAAACGAAAACAAGGTAACAATTCAAACACATTTCGGACAAATCCAACTATTTTAATTTGTGGAGAAGGTTTCAAGCCGCAGAGGTCTACAAGCACAGATATGGCTACTGATCCCGCTTGGCTAGGCCTCGTGCCCTCGCAAAATTGTTTCGAAATTTATATCTCTAAAGTTGCCCAAACTCATAAAATGCCTTAGCTACGTCACAGTTAGAGACTGATTTCAGTATATTAGACTTCTTTTGATAATGATAGCAATTATCCCTGTAGTTTATCCAGATTCCCGATGGTTAATTCTGACTCGATCACCGAATGATTAGGGCGACGCCATGTTTGTTTATAAACAGTGAAAGTAGTCCCTACTTGACCTTTGATATTTGCATCTCTATCCGCATATGACCCCAACGGATATCGTTTTTATCCGTTGGCTTTATCCTGCCGAGAAACCTACCCATTATATGATAAACTACAATATCTGAAAAACCATCGGACCTACTTCATTCAAAGTTGGTATGAGATTATTAAACACTCATACATAACTGGATATCACATTTAAAGACAATCGGTGCATGAATAAAAAATCTGTCTATTTAGCTATCACTATATTTCATCAACAATCAGACCTGTTCGTCACGGGTGGAACGAGCATTCATTAAAACAGCCATCTGCATAATGCTACCCCTGCATCACAGGGCCATATGACACAGTTGAACCAATCAACTCAACTCGAAAGGTTGCACGGGAATCACGCATGTTGAGACGCCCAACGATAACACCGTATTCGTGCGTGCGTGCGTGATTCCCGATAATCTCATACCAACTTTGACTGGAGTAGGTCCGATAGTTTTTCAGATATTGTAGTAAACGTCGGTACCTTAAATTACCTTCCAGACTATAACTGGTCTTATCTTAAGTGGGAAACATGTATACCTACAATTACCTCACATCTCAAGGTGGAATCACGGTTATAAGAACTGTTATCCAATGTATTGATGTGTCATCCTCCCCGTGTTCTCAGACTCCCCTTCCGGCTGCTGGTCAGGAAGTACGACTGTGACGTGGCCTTCACCCCCATGATCATCTCCGAAAGTTTCATACAGTCCCAGAAGGCCAGGGATAGTGACTTCACAACGTGTCAACGTAAGTCTCAGTGACAAATTATTTGACCATTTAGAACCTATATTAGAAACTTGAAATGTCAACACAACAGACACGTGAAGATCCGGGGTAGAATAGGTCTCCAGCAACCCATGCTTGCCGTAAAAGGCGACTATGCTCTTCGTATCAGTCGACTAACGGGATCGGGTGGTTAGACTCGCTGACTTGGTTGATGCATGTCATCATATCCAAATTGTGTGCATCGATGCTCATGATGTCAATCACTGGGTTGTTTGGTTCAGACACGATTATTTAAGACCGCCGTCATATAGCTGGAATATTGCTGAGTGTGGCTTTTAACACAAACAAACAAACAACCAACCCAACAGATAAACTTCACTGAAGCCGGTCCATTGTTAACATGATGTGTTATCAATTTTTCGATGCTGTGGACAATGGATGACATCATATGTTGTTTTCGACAAGACGTCAGTGTGACGTTATATCCCATGTGCTTTATCCGATCATGACACTCAGGGACGGTGGGGTAGCCTAGTGGTTAAAGTGTTCGCTTGAAACACCGAAGATCCGAGTTCGACTCCCCACATGGGTACAATGTGTGAAGCCCATTTCTGATGTCCCCCATCGTGATATTACTGGAATATTATAAAGTGAACACAATTTATGGATAACAACTTTATTTACTATACAGACGACATGTTGGTATAGCTCCTTATGCCGTGCTTGACAACTGCATACAGATCTATACCTAAACGTCGCCTTTACTGTAAGGAAGTTGTAATCCATAAATTGTGTCTACTTTGTCGTCCGTCTACTTCTAAGTAATGCCGATCAAACAATGCTGGAATAATACTAAAAGCGGTGTAAAACCATACTCTCACTCACTCACTCACTCACTCACTCACTCACTCACTCACTCACTCACTCACTCATGACACTCGACCTTTTGACCCTTAATGATAACATGCTACTGTCGTGAGTGCATTGTGGACGGAGGGTGTGACAATGTTGGCCAAAGGTCTCTTTTTCTACCCGGGTGACGAATATTGTCTGTGAAGTTGAAATTTAATATACATGATCGATACACACGATGTCACCCTTTCCACAAGCAATTGCTCGTACATGATGTTAGTTTATTTAAGTGCATATAAGTTGAAGTATTAATATTGTCATTGCATCCTCGATTGTCCTTTGTATTATCATGATTATGTCTCCATTATACTTTGATGAATACACAGGACGTTAGGGCTGCAACGATACACCTAGGTCATGATACAATACGTATCTCGATACTTACATCACGATTAGATATGTATCTCGATACTTACATCACGATTCGATATGTACCTCGATACTTACATCACGATTCGATACCTATCTCGATACTTACATCACGATACGATACGTATCTCGATACTTACATCACGATTCGATACGTATCTCGATATTTACATCACGATACGATACATATCTCGATACTTACATCACGATTCGATACGTATCTCGATACTTACATCACGATTCGATGCGTATACCGGTACTTACATCACTTTTCGATGCGTATCTCGGTACTTACATCACAATTCGATGCGTATCTCGATACACATAGTGCCAAGAGGAGACAGGTGATAAATGAATTAAACTTAGTTTATTAAAATGAAAAATTAAATAAAAGTGAATGAATGTTCATGAATCATAAAACATATATATACTGCAATGAGTATTTTAACTTAATGAATCATCTGCCATTTGGTAGATAAGTACCAGTAACTTGCCATTTTCACTGTATGCCCTAGTGGTTTCTCTAGCTAAGGACAAGTGTCTGCTTTTTCCGACATGTTGGAGTTAGAGACCACTCAGCCAATCAGAAATCTTGAACTGCTACTGATATACAATGCTAGAATAACTGCTGTGTTTTCGAAGACTCGATTCGAATTTGAAATTCATTTAAAACACATTTAAAACGTATCTGTGATAAAAGTTTATTGAAAAAAACATATCATAAAAAATCTAGATAAAGCACCTGACAAATCGTGCGCCGTATCGTATGGAGTGAATCGCGATGCATCTGTGTCCTGGGATATCGTTTCAGCCCTACAGGCTGAGGACTCATTCTCTGAATGTGCCATCGCCACTTTGCCACTTCTATCAATCCTTTCTAAATCTGAGCACAGGACTACTCACGCTTTCGAGAGTAAGTTGAATGAGTGCAATCCGTATTGCCCTGACAGTCAAATCAGACTCATCACTGGGCTATCACGGCCAATGAGCCCAGGGTATTTAATTACATAGAGATATAATACCCTGGATCACTGAAGATGATCTCGTCATCTATGTCACTGATTGTGTTTTGCAGGTGACCGCCCCCTGATTGTACAGTTTGCAGCAAGTAAACCCAAAGATTTTGCTGATGCTGCAGAAGTCGTCTCCCCGTATGTATCAATGTTGAGTGTGTGTCAAGGTGCCACTGTGTACCGTCTGTAGATGTTAGACAGAACACTTCATAAGGCACAAGTGCTGTCATGTACCCTGTTTGATGTGCAGTGTTGTGCACATTTAAAGGGGGACTCCAGCATGGTGCATGTGTACCAAAAGCAGAGCACATTTAAAGGGGGTCTCCATGGTGAACATATCGAGTCCAGGTCTCGACCTGATAGTTAATGTATGTTATCCTGAATCTGGTCACACTGTAACATTATACTGATTTATTTTCCAAATGTTACTCAAAACTGTTAAAATAATTGTCAAGTTTGGAATGACGGGGATGGGCCGGTTCTTACACTTTGTGCAAGATTGACCCATTTTGAAATTTGAAGTGACTTCAAGATACAAGACTGACTGACGAGTCAGATCCCTGTAGAAATGAGTTACCTTTTTTGATCATACAACAAGTCATACAGAAGTAAAACAGTGTTACAACTTGTATAAGCGGGGGGGGAGGGGGCACGGGTGGCCAAGTCATCTAAGGCGCCACGATACGCTGTGCAGAGTTGCGTCCCTTGGGCACGCCAGAAACCTATGATTGTGGGTTCGAATTGCGGTCCGCCGGTCTAGGATTGTCAGCACCATACCCGTGCTCGTGGGTTTCACTGAATCGGTAAACGTCTGAGACCTGCATCACTTTGGGCTTTCCTCCCACATCAAGCTGACACGCCTTGATATAACTGGAATACTATTCAAAGCGGCGTTAAACCCAACTCACCTCACTCACTCACTCACTCACTCACTCACTCACTCACTCACTCACTCACTCACTCACTCACTCACTCACTCACTCACTCACTCACTCACTCACTCACTGTATAAGTGGGAGATAAAACAGTCATATAATCACACACTATCCACTCCAGAATAGTCAGCTGTGTTCACAGAAATTGACCAATCAAAATCAAGTATTTAACGGAATTAAGGTAGAATAATTTATCAAATGAGGCATTATCTGGGTCATCTGATTATTTTTATATCTGGTAATTTATAAGAGTGATGATAATATGCGGAATTCCCAACTACATGATCGTTGATTTTTGAAAACAAAGAACAAAGACACCGTGTTGCGTGGGAGGCGTGATCAGTGATGATATAAGTGAGTAGAACTCTTGTCTTGACCCCAGCAGTGACAATTCACAGGATGTAATTAGTGTTTGAATGACATTGTTTATATACTTGTTACAAGTGCTGCTCATTAAACAGTGATGTGGAATACATAGTTGTTTGTTTTCAGCATATGTCTAAGTTGGTATTTCTGCTATCCAAAATGTCTTATTGTTGATATAAATGCGATGTTTAATAATGCGAGCAAAGACACTCGCATTTTTCGCATTTAATTCACACTCGCGTTAATTTCAAGGTTTATAGTATATAGCATCATTACTTTCGAAATGTTTAGTTCCAGAGTAGGATTTTGTATTGACCTTTGCTGCAGACTTGGTGCCGAATATCGGACTCTGATCAGATGTAGATAAATCCCTGGATATGGACTAGTTCCTATATGCCTGGGTGGACATAACAAACCACCTTACAAGACAGGCTTCGGAAGCTGGATGCTGTTTTTCGTGGTTTTACTGTGGGGTCAGGAACAAAGTTCCATGGTCACTCCGACCGCCTCCGTGGTCTAATGGTAGAGCGTCCGACCGGAGAGCGGAAGGTCCGTGGTTCGATCCCCGACCGCGTCATACCAAAAGACGTTAAAAGATGGTACTTGTTGTTACCCTGTCTGGCGCTCGGCATTAAGGGGCTAAAACAAGGACTGGTCGGCTCGGAGTCAGTATACTGTGTCTGAGTGGGGTATTCATGTTAAACTGCGGCATGGTATCTCAGTGAGCTAGCACTATAAATCGGCATCAGTCCGGACTAGTACAAGCAGCCACACAAACACACATACACGTGCATGCATGTCGCTTTATAAGTGCAATAATCTTGGACGCGACGTTAAACCCCATTTCACCTCACCTCACTATGGTCACTCCTCAAATGATGCCTCTCCCTCCCAGCTGTTGTGCATCTTTTAATGGGAATAACTGACAGGAAAGTAGTCTGTGTCAGAGTAAACAACAGTAAGAACACTTTAATTGCAAGGCAGAACTTAGTCAAACTTTAGTTGAATAATAAAACTGAAATTTATGGAGATCTGTCTTGAGCTCAGTTTGTGACTAGTAGTATGCTTATCATCTTCACAGAGAACAGACCAGTGTTGAGGTATGTGCGTATGAAGAGACACAATGTGAAGAACCTGTCACAGTTGCAGGGTATTACCTTGACTGACAAAAGTGGGGTCCAGGGAACCCCAATAATTAATTTTAAGGGTCCTTGCAGGCAATATGAGGGTCCTGTTAAGTAACGAAAAGGCATAGTGTACCATATTTTCTTGAGTATAGTGCGCACCCAAGTATAATGCGCATCCCCCTCTAGCGGATTCAGTATTTTGAAGACACGTGAAGATCCGGGGTAGAATAGGTCTTCAGCAACCAATGCTTGCCGTAAAAGGTGACTATGCTTGTCGTAAAAGGCGACTAACGGGATCAGGTGGTCAGGCTCGCTGACTTGGTTGATACATGTCATTGATCCCAATTGCGTGGATCGATGCTCATGATATCAATCACTGGATTGTCTGGTCCAGACTTGATTATTTACAGACCGCCATCATATAGCTGGAATATTGCTGAGTGCGGCGTTAAACAATAAACAAACAAATAAACAAACATTATTTTGAAAAAAAAGAAATTTGAATATTATGTGCAGAAAAAAATACACTGTACACCTTCAGCGAATTCTGGTAAACGAACGAGTGATGAGAAACTTGGTCAGTACAAATATGAAATTTGAGATACAAATTACCAGGTGTGTTGATCTTTCATTTAAGTTGTATTTTTTTGTTCTGCTTGGATCTGCTGTGTTTATGTATAACGTTCCTGTGATGGTTTACTGTTCAAGATATGCTGATGGTGTTGATCTCAACTGTGGCTGTCCTCAAAGGTAAATATGTGTGGATTCCATCTGTGGCAGACGAAAGGTGCACGACCTGCCTGCTGTTTATTCTGATTCAATTGATTGTTTGATTTTCATGCTACATTTAGTCGAGATGTTGTGATTTTCATAAACAATTTTACATATTATATTCCCTGCTACACTTAATGTTGGCATGGATCATGCTTATGCTTTCAAGAAATAAGTTACTGTATTTGACGTAATAAGCACCCCGCTCTTATAAACGCCCATGGCGATATTTGCTAATATATTGGCTAGTGAACAATCCCAATTAGCACCCCTTCTGACTGATCAATGTACACAACGCTTATTTATTCGTGTATAATACGCACTCATGTGTTATATGCACCCTTAGTTATAGGCAATTAAATTCTGGAAAAATATATCTGTCATATATAAACATCTCAGGATGTCAGCATAAACCACGAAATTTACGATCTTTCAACTCTGCTTTTTTTACCAAAATAATATTCTAATAAGCATGATAAGAGCCACCCTATTTCTAATTTTGAGAACGCTCCGGGCGCTTATTACGTGGAATATGGTACTTCTAACTGGACGAGGGCCGACAATGTGATTAGGATTCACATGTTTTAAGTTGTGCTGTTACAATCATTAAAGTTTCATGTTTTTGTGTTCTTCCAATTTCTAAATGTTTATCAAAGACCTGGGTGACATTGTTCTCCTCCAGATGGGCGATGGCTGATGGCTACGGAGCCTGCCTCATCAACAAACCCGAGCTGATGTGTGACATCGTGAAGGAAGCAAGAGCCAGGGTACCTCAGGAAGAATTTACAGTGTCAGTGAAGATACGAATCCATAAAAATATCAGGTAATTTGAGGAGTTGTTGTCTGTCCGCACTTAAACCCACAATGCACATGGAACTGTGTGTCATGTCATACCAAGTCATACGATGTCATTCATGTGTGAGAAGTTACTCAATACCTTGTGGGGAATATGACAACCTAAATTCATCCTTCTTGATAGTATGGTTTTCGGATCTTTTGGAAACAAAATATTGGTGGTATTAATAATGTGTTGTCGGGTGGATGATGAAAGGAGAAAAAAAGTTTGATTTATTGTGAGATTTGAGTGCATGCCAGAGTGTTCCTTCCATTCATTCCCTACAGTTGTAAATAATATTGTTATGATAAAATATGTATTTTAAATATTACTTTGTATTCATGAATCAATTGTATATATATCAACTTGTTCTCGCCGCCAATGGCTAAAATATGCCGATGAGGCGTAAAATTTTTAATTCACTCACTCACTACATGCACTCCTCTTTGACAGACTGGTTTGAGTCTCCGTAAACAATAAACTCATCTGTAGAGTTCAGTTGAGACAGCTAGCAAATGATTAGGTTCTGCATTATGGCAAGTTTGGATTGCTTCTAATTGGAAGTTTATATCGACCATCGTGACCACGTACATGGCTGTTGGTCACTGACCTGCCTGGGATATACCTGCAGGGTTTTACCTTGATTTTCAAAAGTCGGGATCCAGGAGTCCTTGTAAGCAATATGATGCAGAGCTCCAGATAAGCTGCGTATCTGCGTGAAATATGCATCAGAAATGCAGAAATACGCAGTAAAATATAATCCAAGCGTATCAAATACGCAATGAACTTTACAGATACGCTACAAAAATAAAACTTGTGCGTATCATCAAATATTGTGAAGTAACCCTGCGTATTCAGTTAGCAAATCAGCAACTTATTTTGAAATTATAAACGGGCATTCCGTCAACCTTACCAAACTCCACGATGACAGTTACATCATGATCATTTGCCATCACACTTTCGTGTGGAAGTATCGTGGTATTTTTGAGTCCTATAAAGCTCTCGACCCCACACGACACCAGTTTGCAGGGACTAGATGAATAGTGTTTTTAAATATTTAACTTAAATACCCACATGTGTAAAAACTAGTGGGTAACAGAAATTTGAATACCCAGATAGAATTACTGATACCCAATGATTTTAAAATGCATGGGTAAAATACCCACAACACCAAAAGCTTATCTGGAGCTCTAATGAGGGTCCTGTAAAGTAATGGAATGATGTAGTGTACAGTATCTTTAGATCATTTCTTTAGAGCCTGGAATGAATCAATGATCATGTGGACAGTGGTCATGATTGAGGATGAAATAACAGACACTCTAACTGCTCTTAATGTGATGTAGGTAGAATGAATGTTATTATGCATCCCTCGGGAGTTTGGACGGAGTATATAATTTTTCTGCTTCCACTCTCTACATTTGAGCGTCTCGTTAAACCTTGTGCCTTCCTTCCCAGGGATACAGTGGACCTCTGTCAGAAGGTGGAGAGAGCCGGGGCCTCATTCATATCCGTCCATGGTCGTACCAAGGATGAGCGCTGCCAACCTGTCCACTACGACGCCATCAGGACCATCAAAGAGAGCGTCAACATACCTGTGGTTGCCAATGGCGACATCAAGTCAATGGATGATGTGTTGGATGTCTGTGACAAGACAGGAGTAGATGGTGAGTTGATGTCTGTGACAGGACAGTAGATGGTGAGTTGATGTCTGTGACAAGACAGGGGTAGATGGTGAGTTGATGTCTGTGACAGGACAGTAGATGGTGAGTTGATGTCTGTGACAAGACAGGGGTAGATGGTGAGTTGATGTCTGTGACAGGACAGTAGATGGTGAGTTGATGTCTGTGACAAGACAGGGGTAGATGGTGAGTTGATGTCTGTGACAGGACAGTAGATGGTGAGTTGATGTCTGTAACAAGACAGGAGTAGATGGTGAGTTGATGTCTGTGACAAGACAGGGGTAGATGGTGAGTTGATGTCTGTGACATGACAGTAGATGGTGAGTTGATGTCTGTGACAGGAGAAGATGGAGAGTTGATGTCTGTGACAGAAGTAGATGGTGAGTTGATGTCTGACAAGACGGGTAGATGGTGAGTTGATGTTTGTGACAGGACAGTAGATGGTGAGTTGATGTTTGTGACAAGACAGTAGATGGTGAGTTGATGTCTGTGACAAGACAGTAGATGGTGAGTTGATGTCTGTGACATGACAGTAGATGGTGAGTTGATGTCTGTGACAAGACAGTAGATGGTGAGTTGATGTTTGTGACAAGACAGTAGATGGTGAGTTGATGTCTGTGACAAGACAGTAGATGGTGAGTTGATGTCTGTGACAAGAAAGTAGATGGTGAGTTGATGTCTGTGACAAGATAGGGGTAGATGGTGAGTTGATGTCTGTGACAAGACAGTAGATGGTGAGTTGATGTCTGTGACAAGACAGTAGATGGTGAGTTGATGTCTGTGACAAGACAAGAGTAGATGGTGAGTTGATGTCTGACAAGACGGGTAGATGGTGAGTTGATGTTTGTGACAAGACAGTAGATGGTGAGTTGATGTTTGTGACAAGACAAGAGTAGATGGTGAGTTGATGTCTGTGACATGACAGTAGATGGTGAGTTGATGTTTGTGACAAGACAGTAGATGGTGAGTTGATGTCTGTGACAGGAGTAGATGGTGAGTTGATGTTTGTGACAAGACAGTAGATGGTGAGTTGATGTCTGTGACAAGACAGTAGATGGTGAGTTGATGTCTGTGACATGACAGTAGATGGTGAGTTGATGTCTGTGACAGGAGTAGATGGTGAGTTGATGTCTGTGACAAGACAGTAGATGGTGAGTTGATGTCTGTGACAAGACAGTAGATGGTGAGTTGATGTCTGTGACAAGACAAGAGTAGATGGTGAGTTGATGTTTGTGACAAGACAGGAGTAGATGGTGAGTTGATGTCTGTGACAAGACAGTAGATGGTGAGTTGATGTCTGTGACAGGAGTAGATGGTGAGTTGATGTCTGTGACAGGAGTAGATGGTGAGTTGATGTCTGTGACAAGACAGTAGATGGTGAGTTGATGTCTGTGACAGGACAGTAGATGGTGAGTTGATGTCTGTGACAGGAGTAGATGGTGAGTTGATGTCTGTGACAAAACAGTAAATGGTGAGTTGATGTCTGTGACAAGACAGTAAATGGTGAGTTGATGTCTGACAAGACGGGTAGATGGTGAGTTGATGTTTGTGACAAGACAGTAGATGGTGAGTTGATGTCTGTGACAAGACAGTAGATGGTGAGTTGATGTCTGTGACAAAACAGTAGATGGTGAGTTGATGTCTGTAACAAGACAGTAGATGGTGAGTTGATGTCTGTGACAAGACAGTAGATGGTGAGTTGATGTCTGTAACAAGACAGTAGATGGTGAGTTGATGTCTGTGACAAGACAGTAGATGGTGAGTTGATGTCTGTAACAAGACAGTAGATGGTGAGTTGATGTTTGTGACAAGACAGTAGATTGTGAGTTGATGTCTGTGACAGGAGTAGATGGTGAGTTGATGTCTGTGACAAGACAGTAGATGGTGATTTGATGTCTGTGACAAGACAGGAGTAGATTGTGATTTGGTGTTTGTGATGTGATGATGTTGTGACGTTGATGTTGTGATGTTGATGTTGAAAATGTTGTTGCGATGCTGTTGCAGGTGTGATGTCGGCGCGGGGCATGCTGTCTAACCCCGCCATGTATGCCGGCCACAAGGAGACCCCCCTGCAGTGTGTCAGGGAGTGGGTAGGTGTCCTGGTCGCACTGTCATGGTTGCGGTCTCCAATATGGAATATGTTGCTTTGGTTGGTTGGTTGGTTGTTTAACGCTGCACTCAGCAATATTCCAGCTATATGACGGCGGTCTGTAAATATTCAAGTCTGGACCAGACAATCCAGTGATTGATATCATGAGCATCGATCCACGCAATTTGGATCGATGACATGTATCAACCAAGTCAGCGAGCCTGACCACCCCATCCCGTTAGTCGCCTTTTACGACAAGCATAGTCGCCTTTTACGGCAAGCATATATTGCTGAAGACCTTTTCACCCCCGGAATCTTCACGGGTCTATGTTGCTAAAGACCCAAACATGCCGAAGATCCTCAGTAGGATAACGCTGTTGTTCATCTCAGTGATGTCGATGTCCAGATGTCGTATTCTGGGCTCCATCTGTACTCTAATGCAACACATATTGCTCTCTCAGATACATTTACTCATGATAACAATCACAGGATTGTCTGGTCCAGACTCGATTATTTACAGACCGCCGTCATATAGCTGGAATATTGCTGAGTGCGGCATTTAACAACAAAGAAACAAACAAACATTTGCTCACTTGTTGCATCCCTCAGGATGTTTCTCGCCTTGGAGGGAAATACATTTCTCAGCGGGCGATTAAATCCCTTTTACCCCGCCACGAGCAAGTCAGGCTGAACGTGGTTTTCTGAGAGCAGAATAAATCCTTTAACCCCGCTTCCAAGCAAAAGGACCCGTAAAGATACGGGGTAGAATAGATCTTCAGCAACCCATGCTTGCCGTAAAAGGCGACTAACGGGATCAGGTGGTCAGGCTCACTGATTGGTTGATGCATGTCATCGATCCCAATTGCGTGGATTGATGCCCATGATATTAATCACTGGATTGTCTGGTCCAGACTCGATTATTTACAGACTGCCGTCATATAGCTGGAATATTGCTGAGTGCAGTATTAAAGAACAAACCAACCAACCATCCAAGCAAAAGGCTGTGCGTTTTTTCAAAGTCAATGTAAGTCATGTCATATAGCACAAGTTTACCTCAACTCAATCGAACAGCTGCTTTCTATCAATTTTTAGTTTGTTTTAATTCTTTTTCAATGTCATTTTAAAATGTGTCGGTAACGAGGGACGCATAAAACCCCATGTACCCCTGGTGATGCTGCTGCAACTTACAGTGTCTGCTTGTAGGTGGACCTGGGGCTGAGTCTGGGAGCACCGTTCTCCAACTTCCACCACCACCTCATGTACATGCTTGAGCAGAACCTGTGTCGGGCGGAGCGGCGCTACTTCAACTCCCTCACCAGCATGTCATCCGTCCTTGACTTCCTCAACACCAACTACAGCGTCTCCTGACACCAGCTACATCTCCTGGCACTACTACGGGTTCTGGCACTACTACGGGTTCTGGCATCAGGCTTCTGACGTCATCCACAGCGGGTCCAAGAACAACTATCCTAGGTCCAGAAGCTGACTACAATAGGTTCTGACACCAACTGTGGCGCCACCAGGCAACCACTGTGGACACTATCCTGTATTTTGATAACTGGTGTCGGAAGTGCACCATAGTTTCCTCCCATTGTTCAGGGTAATGACCGAGGACTTGAATCGAAAACACTGTAAACTTGAAATTAATTCATTCTGGAGAGTAGTAGCGTAGCACCAGAATATAAAACTGTTCAGGTCACTGTTAATCAGCCACTGTTCAGATTGTCTACGTTGTGACAGAGAGTCAGCCCTCGCCACTCTTAATAGAATGACGAAATATTGATTAATTAATTAATGAAGATAGCTTCCTGTGTGCAAATACCTAAGAAGTGATAAAAAAATATCTCCTTCACAACTGTAAGTAATATGCCATATCGTGGGAATGGCTGCTTTTCACTCTATAAGTATTACCACACATGCAGCGACCTTCGTTTGGACATAATGTTTGGAGTTGAATGGATCAAGGGAATTATGTATCTTGTATAATGTATATATAGAATACTAAACGAGCTTCTGTGTAATACCAATTTTATGAAACGAGTGAATCGTTGTCGTATCTGACGAGCGAAAGCACGTCAGATTCCACAACTATTCACGAGTTTCATAAAATTGGTATTACTCAGAAGCTCGTTTAGTATTTTATTTATTACTTGCCATTTATATTGTTTTTTTAATTATACTGTTGAGTATGAATAAGCTGACACCTACATGATCAACGGCATAGTCCAATTGAGTTTAACAGAATAATACTTCAAACATGTCAAAAGTTGAAACGTATGAATTTAATACCATACAACGGTCCACCTTTAGAATTCACAAAATTATCGTAGGGCTAAGGCTATCGCAACTCACATACTTAACAGACTAATGATTGTCGTTGCGCTACAATATATCGCCTTCTGGAACGGGCCTTGCACCTCAAAGTTTACAATAACGTCACAATACCCAATGATGACGTAATTTGTGGAATTTTGTTGCAAGATCAGTCGGCGAAACAATGCCATGAGACGTCAGCCTAGCAACCAGGTTGCTGGGGTCATCGAGTGTGCATAAGCTCCTCTCAGTGATCTATCAACTCCACACGCAATGTTGTTGAATAAGCCAAGGGATGTTGAGAGCTTTCAATATTTGTTCATGAAACGTGTTCCGAGAGTACATAAGCACACGTTTTGGTATTACACAATGTGTAATACAGCTGTATGTTTATTAAACGGGTGATCTCTTCACGGGCAAGTAATAAAGATGCATATGATTTAAACGAATCATTACTATTTCACAGTCATTCATGCTCACGATATAGTCAGAATTGTACAATGGACTGCCGTCAGCAGAGATTTCTGATGGATATGGAAAGGGCTTTGTTGATTTTATGATTGTATGGTCATAGACTAGCAGGATGTATGGCAGATTTTGGGTGTTAGGGCTAGGACGAGTCTAAATTTACTATCGAGTCCCCATACCCCTATTTCCCTACCTTACCCGGATACCCGCTCTCAATTAAGAGATAGGTACAAAATCTCCATACTGTGAAAAAATCTATTCAGATGTACACGTCTTAGTTAAATGATTTGTTAATGCATACACTGAAGTTGACAGAAGATGTATATTTATTCAAACATGAAAGTCAGAAGGAATGTGTGCATAGTCATAAAGAAAGGCAAACATTAGTAATTGTAGTGTAACCATGGAGTTTTAGATAAATGTTGTCGTTAAACAATATATCACGTGACTAACTGGGTAGTCCTGTGGGTACCCTGGTCCTACTCGGTACTCCCCCGACCTGTGTATTCGAGCTACCCCTCGCAGCCCTATCGGCCCTATCGGGTGTTGTCACTGACATAAGATCATTCTATTGTTCACATTTTAAAAACATTGGTTTGTTTTATCAACTTCACTGCTATTTATGTTCTCTTTTCATGTATAAATGTTTACATGTTATGAACAGTGTGTGAGTGAGGGAGTGAGTTGGGTTTAACGCCGCTTTTAACAGTATTCCAGGTATATCACGGCGTGTCAGCTTAATGTGGGAGGAAAGCCCGAAGTGATGCAGGTCTCAGACGTTTACCACTTCGGTGAAACCCACGAGCACGGGTATGATGCTGACAAACCTAGAAACATAATCAGGGCAAACTATATATGTATATGTTGTGAGTATAAAAAAATAGTAATCAATTCTTGTTTTATTACTTCTTTTCTGGAAAAATCAGTTGTGGATGGCCCAATATGTCCCCAGGCGTGTCAGTATGTGGTGGTTCTGGGTTCGAATCCTAGATGTGGTCCTTGGTCTGTCAGCACCATGCCATTGCTTGTTCATTTTAGAAAACGTGTACAGGTCCACCAGTGCTCCAGATAAGGTTCGTATTTGGGGAATACACACAAAATGAATTACACAATTCATTTTGAGTTGCATTATTTTTTTCTTTTTAGGGGAACATAAGCTCTATTCTAAAATGAATTTGGAAATTACTCGATTCTGATTGGTCAAACAGGGGCTATTAAATCACAATAAACCCCCTCTGATTGAAACCGCTGGAAGCTAATGTTCCTAGAATAGTACTTTTTTTCAGTCATTGTCAGTAGGCGTATTTAAATAACTATACCTACAATTATAGGTTACAAAATGCAAAGTTGTAGTTACTACAAAATTCAAAGGATGCGTGGCAATACATTTTGTGCAGGAAACACGATAGAAATCAACAGAGAGATTGTATTTACGTTTTGGGGACAACAGAGAACTTTGAATTTGGCGCTTTACTGACAGTGACTGACGTTATATGTTTGGCGTCACCATGAGCGATATGACGTCATAATGGTGACGTTGGCATCACAATGAGTGATATGACGTCATAATGGTGACGTTGGCATCACAATGAGCCATATGACGTCATAATGGTGACGTTGGCATCACAATGAGCCATATGACGTCATAATAGTGACGTTGGCATCACAATGAGCGATATGACGTCATAATGGTGACGCGCGGTCTAGAACGAAAGCTTTGCAAAGCTTGCTTAGTTTTCTTTATGGGAGCCCACATCATGTTAGCTTAAGAAGTTGCTGTGCTTATATGCTTTCAATGCCTGTCACATGTTCACGTGACGTATTACGGTGTAAACAAACTGCTTGAGCATATACAGCACCATATTTTGTTTGAAGGATGTTGGCGGTGAATCCGTAGTTCAAGTCGACAATCTCAAAACACTGGACTCAACCCATGCCGCTTCACTCAATATATTTGCTAGCACCAAAGAGTTCGCGTTTTATTTAGTCATGGTAGAATGGTGTTTTTAATGTAGAGCTAGGTTACGTGTAGATTTAACCTTGCTAAATTTAACCTTTGAAACATCACGCTGCTTCAGAAAAAGCTTGGTTTGGACAAAGTTCGTGACCACGATTAGATGGTATCTCAGTGTGCTAGCACTATAAATCGGCATCAGTCCGGACTAGAACAAGCAGTCACACATATACACGTGCATGCACGCCGCTATATAAGTGCAATAATCTTGGACGCGACATTAAACCCCATTTCACCTCACCTCACCTCACCTTCCTCCTAGGTTTGAGATTTTAGGGGGTAAAACCCTTGAATACTCTCTTGAACCGCCTCATAACTCCACGTCATCAGGTCCGAGATTGGTCGCAAGGCTAAAAATGGTGTACGTGCGTGCTTTTATAGCTTGAGCTTTTGATGGATTTAGATATGCACCTTATGTGGGAACGAGGTCTCAGGGGTGGCATCTCTATGATATCAAAGTATATCAAGGCGTATAATCCATGTCTGACTCTGTGTATATTTTTTTTTGTCTAAGATAGATAGTACGATTTTAATTACAACTTAATCGACTCGTGAAGATCCCGGGTAGAACAGGTCTTCAGCAACCCATGCTTGCCGTCAAAGGCGACTGTGCTTGTCGTAAGTGGTGACTAGCGAGATCGGGTGGTCAGGCATGCTGACTTGGTTCATGCATGTCATCGTATCTCAATTTCGTGGATCGATGCTTATGATGTCAATTACTGGATTGTCTGGTCCAGACTCGATTATTTACAAACCGCCGTCATATAGCTGGAATATTGCTGAGTGCGGCGTCAAACAAACAACCACAACTACAATTTGATCACAGAAAGGTATGACAACAGTTCTCAGTTTCCTTTCACAGACACCACTTCTTTGTGTTTGTTTGTTTGTTGTTTAACGCCGCGCTCAGCAATATTCAAGCAATATGACGGCGGTCTGTAAATAATCGAGTCTGCACAAAACAATAGAATAGAAACCATACACGTATTAAAAAAAAAGTCAAAGCTGACATATGTTTCCAAACATGCTCAACATTAATACGTGTTCCAAAATATATTTATCTACAGGTGTTTTTTTAAAGGTATTGTAAGGCTTTCTCCATTATCAGTGTTTAAATGTCATGAAGTAGTCTGTAGGCTTACGTACAGATTAAGCCGTCTATTTAAACCACAAAGTACAGCAAAATGTGATATGCATTTGTGGAAATAATCTTCATAATGTCTCCATGGAAACAGTTATATGTAAGCGAGTGAACGAATGAGTGTGGTTTTACGCCGCTTTTAGCATTATTACAGCAATATCACTGCGGGGAACACCAGAAATGGCCTTCACACATTTTACCCATGTCGGGAATCGAACCCCGGTCTTCGGCGTGACGAGCGAACGCATTAACCACTAGGCTACCCGACCGCCCTGTCTTATGTAAGTGTTGTCAAGCAAAACGTCACTGTTTGCGACACATATATTATCGTTATATATAAGGAATTATTAAATTAAAGATACAATGTTACTGTCTAGCTTCGATACAACAGTATATATAGTTCCAAGCTCTGTGTTCTAAATATCTCTGTAGGCCCAAACTGCCAAAGACTTGTTTTGCGGGGGGTTACTCCCATATCGCCTACACTCCAATTCGCCTACGCTTCAATACGCCAATAGGTTTTATGTAGGCGATTTGGCACACCCCTATGTCAAAAATAGACTGTCCCGATATTTCATTAAAACATTTCACAGTAGATAAGACTACAAAAAATGACTGTTTATACAGCTTAACTCACAGTAAATAATAAATTACAGCTATCAGTTTGAATAGGGAACAATTGATCTGATCCTATGTCACTGGACAATGGCACGCCGCAAGGCAGCATTATAAGCCCAACCCTGTTTAACATCATGATCAATGAAACTTTTGACCATGTCAACTCTCCTACCCAAACTTCTAAATTCGCTGATGACGGAGCAATATGGGTAAAGCACAGAGATATTTCACAAATCAGAAAAAAAACTCCAGTCAGCCCTGGACGGAGTAGATCAATGGTGCAATAAATAGGGGTTCACCCTTTCAAGTGAAAACTGTGGGAGTTCTATTCAAACGCCGGGGGAAAGATGCTATGATACCCTGTGTCTCCTTAAAAGGCAAACCAATCAAATTAAAAAAATCCGCAATATTTCATGGGGTGATCCTTGATCAACACCTCACTTCACGCAAACATATAGAATATGTGGAAAACAGATGTCAAAAAGACCTGAACGTATTACGGGCAATTTCAGGCACATCTTGGGCACAACAAGGGACACTCAGCTGGGCCTCTACTCAGCCTTTCACGTAGCATCAAATACTGACTTGAGCCGCCCAGACAGAATACAATAGAAAGCCCTAATGCTTGCCACAGGTGCAGCAACAGGCACCTCACTAGAAGCACTACAAGTAGAAACGGGAGAACACCCATTGAAGCTAAGGTGAGGTGAAATGGGGTTTAATGTCGCGTCCAAGATTATTGCACTTATATAGCGACGTGTATGTGTGTGTGTGTGGCTGCTTGTACTAGTCCGGACTGATGCCGATTTATAGTGCTAGCACACTGAGATACCATGCCGCAGTTTAACATGAATACCCCACTCAGACACAGTATACTGACTTCGAGCCGACCAGTCCTTGTTTTAGCCCCTTAATGCCGAGCGCCAGACAGGGTAACAACAAGTACCATCTTGTAACGTCTTTTGGTATGACGAGGCTTCGGATCGAACCTCGGACCTTCCGCTCTACCACTAGACCACGGAGGCGGTCCATTGAAACTAAGAAGAGAGCAGGCAATATTATCGTTCTGGGGACGAACATCAAACCCTTTGGTTAAAAAGATATGGCAAGACAAAAACACTCGAGATGAAGCCCTAGCTCGAAAAAATCCCTCACTAAAGCCATCTGGGATATTTGTACGTGAACTCATTCGAAGTCACAATTGTGATGACATTCAGCCTCCAGAAAGTCACTACTTCTGGCTTTAACATCAGAAGTCACTAAAAAAGAAACCCCAACCCTACCACGATCAGTAGCTATCATTAAAATGCTAAAAACTACCTGGGACAGCTGGGCCCATATATACACTGATGGATCCAAGAATCCTATCAACAACAGTGCTGGTTACGGGATCCATCCACAGCTCCAAACCCCAAGCACATTCAGTTCGCCTGCCTGATGGTCAGTCAGTATTCACGGCTGAATTGGAGGCAATTCATCATGCACTCAAACTCATACCGGAACTTCCGGAAGCAAAGGCAGTCCTATCAGACTCGCTAAGTGCACTTCAAGCCATCAGACTTCAGGTCTTCAGAGGGCGGTCGGGTAGCCTAGTGGTTAAAGCGTTCGCTCGTCACGCCGAAGACCCGGGTTCGAATCCCGACATGGGTACAATGTGTGAAGCCCATTTCAGGTGTTCCCCGCCGTGATATTGCTGGAATATTGCTAAAAGCGGCGTAAAACCATACTCACTCACTCACTCAGGTCTTCAGCAACCCATGCTTGCCGTTAAAGGCGACTATGCTTGTCGCAAAAGGCGACTAACGGGATCGGGTGGTCAGGCTCGCTGACTTGGTTGATGCATGTCGTCGATCCCACATGTGAGTGATGTGGACGTTTAGAATCTCTTTACATTGTTTACAAATACAATATAAAAGGAAGAACAAAGACATAGACTGTTGAAATATTATTTGTACATTTGTAAATCTGACTTCCATGTTCTGTTTATCTGCGATGCCTTTGCTTCCCCAAGAAAGAAATATTTTCCACATTCAAAAATACATATGTAAATCACCAAGTGATGTACACTTTTCTCCACTCAAATGATGTACATACTTTTAAGTCAGTAGCCATTTTATCAAACACTAATTCTACAAGATTTAAATGAGTTGCTAATTAAGCAAATCCCCTGTCAGTCACATAGCTACCAACTTTGTTCTGTTGACTGTATTGTACTTTTGGCCACAAGGCCGAGAAACTGAATAAACGCGCCTATCTGTCTGTTCTACAAATGTTTTTATTTATACTTAGAGACCTACATACAGACATCGCATGTTGTTTATCTCAGGTTAAAACACATCTGTGACGTCATTCCATTGTTTGAACGCTCCATTATTTTTCAGGATAAAACTCCAGCTGTTGCTTGGCTGGTGGGATTGGACTTGAGGACGCTCAGCATGTTTGGGTAGGTGTTGGAAGAAAACTACATTTCTCTCGAATGTTACTCTAATGATGTACATTATTTTATCAAGAACTAATTCATTATACAAAAGTAATAAACACTCATGACCACAAAACTTTATTGATGAAATATTTCTTTTTCGTGGCCATTCGTGATTATCCATAGTAAATCTATTTTATTAAGGCATAAAGATTTCGCTTTTAAACCGATTCAAATGAGGCGTTGAATGATATATATACTGCAAGGCAAAAGAACGTATATGATCGAAAATTTGATTTGACAAAAAATTACAAATGCTATCAAAACGTTACAAGGCTGAAAAACAACCCCGTTGGTTTGGATCATGCACGTGCAGCAGTGACCCCCCCCCCCCCCCCCCCCCCCCCCCCCCCCCCCCGCTAGTTGAAGGAGCCGACAACACTCACTGTAGATACTAGACCCACCTTGGCCCCCACAACCCCCCGCTAGTTGAAGGAGCCGACATCACTCAGTGTAGATACTAGACCCACCTTGGCCCCCACAACCCCACGCTAGTTGAAGGAGCCGACATCACTCAGTGTAGATACTAGACCCACCTTGGCCCCCACAACCCCACGCTAGTTGAAGAAGCCGACAACACTCAGTGTAGATACTAGACCCACCTTGACCCCCACAACCCCACGCTAGCTGAAGGAGCCGACAACACTCAGTGTAGATACTAGACCCACCTTGGCCCCCACAACCCCACGCTAGTTGAAGGAGCCGACATCACTCAGTGTAGATACTAGACCCACCTTGACCCCCACAACCCCACGCTAGTTGAAGGAGCCGACAACACTCAGTGTAGAAACTAGACCCACCTTGACCCCCACAACCCCACGCTAGTTGAAGGAGCCGACAGCACTCAGTGTAGAAACTAGACCCACCTTGGCCCCCACAACCCCACGCTAGTTGAAGGAGCCGACAACACTCAGTGTAGAAACTAGACCCACCTTGACCCCCACAACCCCACGCTAGTTGAAGGAGACCACAACACTCACTGTAGATACTAGGCCCACCTTGGCCCCCAACAACCCCACGCTAGTTGAAGAAGCCGACAACACTCAGTGTAGAAACTAGACCCACCTTGGCCCCCACAACCCCACGCTAGTTGAAGGAGACCACAACACTCACTGTAGATACTAGGCCCACCTTGGCCCCCAACAACCCCACGCTAGTTGAAGAAGCCGACAACACTCACTGTAGAAACTAGACCCACCTTGGCCCCCACAACCCCACGCTAGTTGAAGGAGACCACAACACTCACTGTAGATACTAGGCCCACCTTGGCCCCCAACAACCCCACGCTAGTTGAAGGAGCCGACATCACTCAGTGTAGAAACTAGACCCACCTTGACCCCCACAACCCCACGCTAGTTGAAGGAGCCGACAACACTCAGTGTAGAAACTAGACCCACCTTGGCCCCCACAACCCCACGCTAGTTGAAGAAGCCGACAACACTCACTGTAGAAACTAGACCCACCTTGGCCCCCACAACCCCACGCTAGTTGAAGGAGACCACAACACTCACTGTAGATACTAGGCCCACCTTGGCCCCCAACAACCCCACGCTAGTTGAAGAAGCCGACAACACTCACTGTAGAAACTAGACCCACCTTGGCCCCCACAACCCCACGCTAGTTGAAGGAGACCACAACACTCACTGTAGATACTAGGCCCACCTTGGCCCCCAACAACCCCACGCTAGTTGAAGGAGCCGACAGCACTCAGTGTAGAAACTAGACCCACCTTGGCCCCCACAACCCCACGCTAGTTGAAGGAGACCACAACACTCACTGTAGATACTAGGCCCACCTTGGCCCCCAACAACCCCACGCTAGTTGAAGAAGCCGACAACACTCAGTGTAGAAACTAGACCCACCTTGGCCCCCACAACCCCACGCTAGTTGAAGGAGACCACAACACTCACTGTAGATACTAGGCCCACCTTGGCCCCCAACAACCCCACGCTAGTTGAAGGAGCCGACAGCACTCAGTGTAGAAACTAGACCCACCTTGGCCCCCACAACCCCACGCTAGTTGAAGGAGACCACAACACTCACTGTAGATACTAGGCCCACCTTGGCCCCCAACAACCCCACGCTAGTTGAAGGAGCCGACAGCACTCAGTGTAGAAACTAGACCCACCTTGGCCCCCACAACCCCACGCTAGTTGAAGGAGACCACAACACTCACTGTAGATACTAGGCCCACCTTGGCCCCCAACAACCCCACGCTAGTTGAATGAGCCGACAGCACTCAGTGTAGAAACTGGACCCACCTTGGCCCCCAACAACCCCACGCTAGTTGAAGGAGCCGTCAACACTCAGTGTAGAAACTAGACCCACCTTGGCCCCCACAACCCCACGCTAGTTGAAGGAGCCGACAACATCAATAATGCTCAGAAAGTCCCAAATCCTCACCAGCCACTGGAATCCCTGCTTGTTTCAGCTTGGTGTGGATCAGCGTGTTGGCAGTCAGTTTTACAGGTATGTCTATCTCAGCAGTTGATTTGGTCATTGGGGAACCATCTCTAGTTATGCACGGTGAACACAGATGTTTGGTAGAGTGGAAACGGTGAACACAGATGTTTGGTACAGCGTTAACGGTGAACACAGACGTTTGGTAGAATGGTAACGGTGAACACAGATGTTTGGTAGAGCAGGAACGGTGAACACAGATGTTTGGTAGAGCGGTAACGATGAACACTCATGTTTGGTAGAATGGTAACGGTGAACACAGATGTTTGGTAGAGTGGTAACGGTGAACACAGATGTTTGGTAGAGTGGTAACGGTGAACACTGATGTTTGGTAGAGCGGTTACGGTGAACACAGACGTTTGGTAGAGTGGTAACGGTGAACACAGATGTTTGGTAGAGTGGTAACGGTGAACACAGATGTTTGGTAGAGCGGTAACGGTGAACACTGACGTTTGGTAGAGTGGTAACGGTGAACACAGATGTTTGGTAGCGTGGTAACGGTGAACACAGATGTTTGGTAGAATAGTAACTGTGAACACAGATGTTTGGTAGGGTGGTAACGGTGAACACAGATGTTGGTACAGCGGTAACGGTGAACACTGATGTTTGGTAGAGTGGTAACGGTGAACACAGATGTTTGGTAGAGTGGTAACGGTGAACACAGATGTTTGGTAGAATGGTAACGGTGAACACTGATGTTTGGTAGAGCGGTAACGGTGAACACAGATGTTTGGTAGAGTGGTAACGGTGAACACAGATGTTTAGTAGAGCAGTAAAGGTGAACACAGATGTTTGGTAGCTTAGTAACGGTAAACACAGATGTTTGATAGAGTGGTAACTGTGAACACAGATGTTGGGTAGAGTGGTAACGGTGAACACAGATGTTTGGTAGAGCGGTTACGGTGAACACTGATGTTTGGTAGAGCGGTAACGATGAACACTGATGTTTGGTAGAGCGGTAACGGTGAACACAGATGTTTGGTAGAGTGGTAACGGTGAACACAGATGTTTGGTAGAGCGGTTACGGTGAACACTGATGTTTGGTAGAGCGGTAACTGTGAACACAGATGTTTGGTAGAGTGGTAACGGTGAACACAGATGTTTGGTACAGCGGTAACGGTGAACACTGATTTTTGGTAGAGTGGTAACTGTGAACACAGATGTTTGGTAGAGTGGTAACGGTGAACACAGATGTTTGGTAGAATGGTAACGGTGAATACTGATGTTTGGTAGAGTGGTAACGGTAAACACAGATGTTTGGTAGAGTGGTAACGGTGAACACAGATGTTTGGTAGAGTGGTAACGGTGAACACAGATGTTTGGTAGAGCGGTAACGGTGAACACAGATGTTTGGTAGAATGGTAACGGTGAATACTGATGTTTGGTAGAGTGGTAACGGTAAACACAGATGTTTGGTAGAGCGGTAACGGTGAACACAGATGTTTGGTAGAGTGGTAACGGTGAACACAGATGTTTGGTAGAATGGTAACGGTGAATACTGATGTTTGGTAGAGTGGTAACGGTGAACACAGATGTTTGGTAGAATGGTAACGGTGAACACAGATGTTTGGTAGGGTGGTAACGGTGAACACAGATGTTTGGTAGAGCGGTAAAGGTGAACACTCATGTTTGGTAGAATGGTAACGGTGAACACAGATGTTTGGTAGAGTGGTAACGGTGAACACAGATGTTTGGTAGAGTGGTAACAGTGAACACTGATGTTTGGTAGAGCGGTTACGGTGAACACAGACGTTTGGTAGAGTGGTAACGGTGAACACAGATGTTTGGTAGAGTGGTAACGGTGAACACAGATGTTTGGTAGAGCGGTAACGGTGAACACTGACGTTTGGTAGAGTGGTAACGGTGAACACAGATGTTTGGTAGCGTGGTAACGGTGAACACAGATGTTTGGTAGAATAGTAACTGTGAACACAGATGTTTGGTAGAATAGTAACTGTGAACACAGATGTTTGGTAGAGTGGTAACGGTGAACACAGATGTTGGTACAGCGGTAAGGGTGAAGACTGATGTTTGGTAGAGCGGTAACTGTGAACACAGATGTTTGGTAGAGTTGTAACGGTGAACACAGATGTTTGGTAGAATGGTAACGGTGAATACTGATGTTTGGTAGAGTGGTAACGGTAAACACAGATGTTTGGTAGAGCGGTAAAGGTGAGCATAGATGTTGGGTAGAGCGGTATCGGTGAACACTCATATTTGGAAAAATGGTAACGGTGAGCACAGATGCTTGGTAGAGTGGTAACGGTGAACACAGATGTTTGGTAGAATAGTAACAGCGAACATAGATGTTTGGTAGAGTGTAACAATGAACATATATGTTTGGTAGAGCGGTAACGGTGAACATAGATGTTTGGTAGAGTGTAACAGTGAACACAGATGTTTGGTAGAGCGATAACGGTGAACACTCATATTTGGTAAAATGGTGACGGTGAACACTGATGTTTGGTAGAGTGGTAACGGTGAACACATATGTTTGGTAGAGCGATAACGGTGAACACTCATATTTGGTAAAATGGTGACGGTGAACACTGATGTTTGGTTATGTTGTGACGGTGAACAAACAACAAACAAACAACACAGAAGATGTACTCGCTTTTTCTACTTTCTTCAGGTGTGTTCGGGGACGTCCCTCATCGGCTGAGGTATGTACTGACGTTGTGACGAGCAACTCACCCGTTTCGTGGACAGTTAGCACCAGAGATCTGGATCACCCTCTCTCAGCCAGCATCTGTGTACAAAGGACTCATTGTCGGGTAGCCTAGTTGTGGTGTCCCCCGCCGGGATATTGCTGGAATATTGCTAAAAGCGGCCTAAAACTATACTCACTCACTCATTGTACTCTTGACTATAGGACGAATATATTGAAGTAAGTGAGTGAGTGATTTTATTTGAACGTCGGTTTGTACAATATTTCAGTTATATCACGAACTATCAGCTTGATGAGGAAGGAAAGCCCTAAGCGATGCGGGTCTTAGAAACCTTCAACGGAAGGATGCTGACAAATATAGAAACAAAAAGAGCGAATCTTGGCGCGAATCACGACCATAGGATTCTGGCAGTGCGAATGCAAAATTACATGTTTACCTCAAAACAATTGTGTATACAGTAGTTAAAAACTGCAAAACAATTGGTAAATTTACCTATTCCGCCGTCCTTAAAAAATGAAACTGATCTTTTATATTGTGACGAATGCAAAATTACATGTTTACGTCAAAACAATTGTGTATACAGTAGTTAAAAACTGCAAAACAATTGGTAATTTGTGGGTAACCATGGACACAAGCTACAACCAGTCACCGCAAGGCAACATATTCAGAAAACATTTTGAAGAACAAACAAATAATCGTTATGTAAATCTAAATCTAAATCAAAATATTTTCCCGTCTAAAGATCGGGATTTTTCACACGAAAATCCGTAAGCCAAGAAATTGAAGTCTGACTTGTAAATGTCTTGATCCGAGAGCTGTGTACCCGTGAAGATCCAGGATAGAATAGGTCTTCAGCATCCCATGCTTGCCGTAAAAGGCGACTACGCTTGTCGTATGAGGCGACTAACGGGATCGGGTGGTCAGACTCGATGACTTGGTTGATACATGCCACCGTATTCCAATTGCATGGATCGATGCTCATGATGTCAGTCACTGGATTGTCTGGTCCAGACTCGATTATTTACAGACCGCCGACATATAGCTGGAATATTGCTGAGTGAGGCGTTAAACAACAAACAAACAAACAAAAGCTGTTGTCTGTTGATCACTATGTTCTTTTACACATGGCGGAGTAATGGATGCGCAAGAACTAGTCCTTGGGGCCGTTGTACAAAGCGATTTAGCACTTATGTGATCATAACTGCCATACCTTAACATAGACTTACGACAGTCGTAGAGCTAAGGTTGTCTTGTACAACGACACCCTGATCAATCTAGCCATCAATGACACTATACTCATGTATTTTCACGATCAGCCCTGAGGACCGCGAGACGCTGCTCCGCCTGGGGTCACCCCGAGCATCTCTCCCCGCGGGCTTCAAATACAAGTATGTGGGTAGCGGAGGGGTCATCAAGAACACCACATCCTCCGGCCACTGGTTGGAGGTTGCCGCGAGTCCCAATACTACCGAAACTGGGCACTATGAGGTAATATAACACCAGGTGTCTGAACCTTGGCATTATGATGTAATATGGCACATGTGTCTGAACTTTGGGACAATTAGGTGATATAAAACCAGGTGTCTGAACCCTGGCACCATGATGTAATTTAACAACGTGTGTCTGAACTAGACACTATGAGGTAATATAACACCGTGTGTCTCAACCCTGGCACTATGAGGTAATATGACACAGGTGTCTGAACCTTGACACTATGCGGTAATATGACACAGGTGTCTGAACCTTGGCACTATGAGGTAATATGACACATGTGTCTGAACCTTGGCACTATGAGGTAATATTACACATGTGTCTGAACCTTGACACTATGAGGTAATATAACACCGGGTGTCTGAACCTTGACACTATGAGGTAATATGACACAGGTGTCTGAACCTTGACACTATGAGGTAATATAACACCATGGGTCTTAACCTTGGAACTATGAGGTAATATAACACCGGGTGTCCGAACCTTGACACTATGGGGTAATATAACACCGGGTGTCTGAACCTTGGCACTATGAGGTTACACGACACAGGTGTCTGAACCTTGACACTATAAGGTAATATGACACAGGTGTCTGAACCTTGACACTATAAGGTAATATGACACAGGTGTCTGAACCTTGGCACTATGAGGTAACACGACACAGGTGTCTGAACCTTGGCACTTAGAGGTAATATGACACAGGTGTCAGACTTTTGCCACTATAAGGTAATTTAACACCGGGTGTGTGAACGTTGACACTATAAGGAAAAATGACACAGGTGTCTGAACCTTGACACTATAAGGTAATATGACACAGGTGTCTGAACCTTGACACTATGAGGTAATATGACACAGGTGTCAGACTTTTGGCACTATAAGGTAATTTAACAACGGGTGTGTGAACGTTGACACTATGAGGTTACACGACACAGGTGTCTGAACCTTGAAACTATAAGGTAATATGACACAGGTGTCTGAACCTTGACACTATAAGGTAACACGACACAGGTGTCTGAACCTTGGCACTTAGAGGTAATATGACACAGGTGTCAGACTTTTGCCACTATAAGGTAATTTAACACCGGGTGTGTGAACGTTGACACTATAAGGAAAAATGACACAGGTGTCTGAACCTTGACACTATAAGGTAATATGACACAGGTGTCTGAACCTTGACACTATGAGGTAATATGACACAGGTGTCAGACTTTTGGCACTATAAGGTAATTTAACACCGGGTGTGTGAACGTTGACACTATGAGGTTACACGACACAGGTGTCTGAACCTTGACACTATGAGGTAATATGACACAGGTGTCTGAACCTTGACACTATAAGGTAATATGACACAGGTGTCTGAACCTTGACACTATGAGGTAATATGACACAGGTGTCTGAACCTTGACACTATGAGGTAATATGACACAGGTGTCTGAACCTTGACACTATGAGGTAATATGGCACCGTATGTCCCAAACTGGGCACTGTTAGGTAATATGACATCCAAGATGAGCCCAGACCTTTCCCCAATTGCACACGTCTGGGACATGACAGGGAGAAGTGTGCCGTCCACTGTGACTGAACTTGGCCAGGCGCTGCAAGAGGAGTGGGACAGACTCCCTCAAATCGCCACTTAGAGACTCACAACCAGTACGCCACGTCGAGTGAATGAATGTTTGACAAATCGTGGCGGTGTCAAGCACGACTGATTGAGAAACGTTAACTAAACGTGAAATTTCCCACCATCCTTCAAAATCGTTGGCGCTCATGACATCTGCCATACTTCACTACTCGGTTGTAACGTGTTCCCAATTCGTTCATTATTACCATACAACTATTACTAGAAACTAACGTCTCTTACAATTGAGGATATTTTAAGTTATTTCCGAGTATCCCTTCTTTCTTAAGAGTATTAATACTCAACAACAAAGTTCCCGTGACACCAATATTTGAGTGTATTTTTCAAACAAGTAAAGTTTTGTTTTCAATATTGTAGTACATGTATGGAATCAAGTCACAAAAACGCAACTGCTACATAAATGCATGCATTCCATGCAAAAGTTGCCTTTATGCATGCCCCATGCTTTTACTACCCAAGAATGGGTATAAAAACATGTTAGTTAACGGGATTCCATATGCATTGTTTAGCATCGTGCTGACAACAACCACTCAGAAAAACAATAAAATTACGCAATTATTCAACAATATGAAATGCCACGCCTGTCGGACAATGAGCGACTGCGAGCCATTGGCATGCTTGAAGCGGGATCGAGTCAACGTGATGTTGCAAGACAATTTAACGTTCACAGAAACACCATTTGGTGTTTATGGCAACGTTGGCAACAGACGAATGCAGTCAGAGACCATCCTCGGAGTGACAGGCCACGCGTAACCAATAGTCGACAAGACAACTGGATTCGAACTACACACCTACGAAATCGATTCCAGCCGGCAACAGTGACTGCAAGAAGCATCCCTGGCCTTTGACGAATATCTTCACAAACCGTACGTCGTCGCCTCAGATGTGCAGGGATTGTCGCCAGACGTACCATTTTTACCGTAAACCACCGTCAAGCACGTCTACAGTGGTGTAGACAGCGTCTACGCTGGACCAACATGCAGTGGGGACAAGTTCTATTCACTGACAAGTCTCGTTTTCACCTCAGCCACAGCGATGGACGGATTCGAGTGTACCGAATGTCGAGGTGAATGTTACACCAATCATTGTGTCATGGGAGAAGATCGTTTCGGGGGCGGCAGCGTTATGATATGGGGTGGGATTACAGCAAGACAGAGGACCCGTTTGATAGTGGTAGAGGGAAATCTCAATGGATAGCGCTACCCCGACGAGATCATCGGCCCTGTTGTTCTACTATTTTTGCGTCGTCATGGCCCAGGCATTACCTTTCAACATGACAATGCCTCACCTCATATTGCTCGACTTGTTCAGGATTCTCTTCAACAAAACAACGTGAATGTCACCCCCTTGCCGGCTCGCTCCCCTGATCTCTCACCAATCGAGCACATGTGGGATAAGATGGATCAACGCCTTCGACGTCAACCACGTGTTCCACAGACACTCCAAGAACTTCGAAACATGCTCCAGCAGATATGGACAGATATCCCACAGGACTTTGTGCGACGCCTGGTCCATTTTATGAGACGAAGATGTGTTGCTTGCATCGCAACCAGAGGTGGACACACACGCTATTGATTTGTAAATTGACATTTTGGCATGTTCATGTGTTTTTGTTTTTTTATGAAATCACGCAGTCAGTATGGCAAATTAAACCATTTGAACACTTACAGGAGTCTTTTATCTGTTGCAAACCGAAATTGTTTCAGATTTGGTAAAAAACATAACGTTGCATTAAATCTTATTCAATGTCACAGGAAATTTTGTTGTTCAGTGTATGAATATTACATTTCCACGTAGGCGGCACTGATCGTGAGTAAAATGACACGCCACATGCCCTCGGTAGTCTTCGCCAAGCTCTCCGCGGGTGGGTCTGTGGGGGTGTTCACACGGACAGAGACACTCGCCATCTACCCGGAATACTATGGACTGAAGGACACGCCCGCCTGTAATGGTAACCCCTTTAAATTCATAGAATAATCTTTCGAAACCTAACGCCAAATACAGACTACTTTAATGCTAACTTTTAAATCTGGAATTATATTTAAAAGTTTAATTTTACGAGTTGAAGTAGTTTGGTAACTCTGTGCTTGCTTGTTGTTGTTGTTTTTTCTGTTTTACTGATCTGCCATAGAGTGAGTGAGTGATATTGGTTTAAGGTCGCTCTAGGTAGTATTAAAAATACATGCCAGCTGAATATGGAAGGAAACGTCACTGCGTTATCACAATGGAGAAACCCATTGATAGACCACTGACCAATCGCAGGCCGAATCCGTGCTTCTTACGTCATCAGCGGATCCTGAAACAGCTAAGGGCAGCAACACAGCGTCTCATACCACAGTACAAGCCGGTCTGCCGTAGAACAGTTACCTGGGTTTCTCCTAATATCCGCAATTAGTGACCTATGAGCCTTGAGTGTTATTAACCGTTATTGCTGCTTTAAAATTTTCAGGAAGCTGCGCCGGACATTGTTCTGCTTCCTGTACGTTTGACGGCCGGAAGTGGAGCACCGTTGCTGGAGCCGGCGGAGCGAGGGCCGTGGTCCTTGACGACAACGTGATGTGTACGTCACGTGACCCCTATAATCACCATGAGAACATACTGGTTCACGAGTTCACCCATACCATCCACCACCATGGCCTTGATTCCCGACACTCCAGGGAGGTATTGATTCCTACCACTATTCACATGTATTGATTCCTACCACTATTCACATGTATTGATTCCCACCACTATTCACAGGTATTGATTCCCACCACTATTCACAGGTATTGATTCCCACCACTATACACAGGTATTGATTCCCCACCACTATACACAGGTATTGATTCCCACCACTATACACAGGTATTGATTCCAACCACTATACACAGGTATTGATTCCCCACCACTATACACAGGTATTGATTCCCACCACTATTCACATTTATTGTATTGATTCCCACCACTATACACAGGTATTAATTCCAAAAACCATACACATGTATTGATTCCCAACACTATACACAGGTATTGATTCCAAAAACCATACACAGGTATTGACTCCCATCACTATACGGGTATTCATTCTCATCACTATTCACAGGTATTGATTCCTACCATTATTCACATGTATTGATTCCTACCACTATTCACAGGTATTGATTCCCACGACTATACACAGGTATTGACCCCCATCACTATACACAGGTATTGATTCCCACGACTGTACACAGGTATTGACTCCCATCACTATACACAGGTATTGACTCCCATTACTATACACAGGTATTGATTCCCAACACTATTCACAGGTATTGATTCCCCACCACTATACACAGGTATTGACTCCCACCAATATACACAAGTATTGATTCCCATCACTATACACAGGTATTAATTACCACCACTATACACAGGTATTGATTCCCAACCCTATTCACATGTATTGATTCCCATCACTATACACAGGTATTGATTCCCACCAATATACACAAGTATTGATTCCCATCACTATACACAGGTATTGATTACCACCACTATACACAGGTATTGATTCCCACCACTATTCACAGGTATTGATTCCCATCACTATACACAGGTATTGACTCCCATCAGTAGACACATGTATTGATTCCAACCACTACTCACAGATATTGATTCCCACCACTATTCACAGGTATTGTATTGATTCCCACCACTATTCACAGGTATTGTATTGATTCCCATCACTATACACAGGTATTGATTCCCACCACTATTCACAGGTATTGATTCCCACCACTATTCACAGGTATTGATTCCAAAGACCATACACAGGTATTGACTCCCATCACTATACATGGGTATTTATTCTCATCACCATTCAAAGGTATTGATTCCTACCACTATTCACATGTTTTGATTCCTACCACTATTCACAGGTATTCATTCCCACGACTATACACAGGTATTGACCCCCATCACTATACACAGGTATTGATTCCCACGACTATACACAGGTATTGACTCCCATCACTATACACAGGTATTGATTCCCACCACTATACACAGATATTGATTCCGAACACTATTCACATGTATTGATTCACTCCACTATTCACATTTATTGTATTGATTCCCACCACTATACACAGGTATTGATTCCCACCACTATACACAGGTATTGATTCCCACCACTATACACAGGTATGGATTCCCACCACTATACACATGTATTGATTCCCACCACTATACACAGGTATTGATTCCAAAAACCATACACAGGTATTGACTCCCATCACTATACATGGGTATTGATTCTCATTACTATTCACAGGTATTGATTCCTACCATTATTCACAGGTATTGATTCCCATCACTACACACAGGTATTGATTCCCACCACTTTTCACATATATTGATTCCTACCACTATTCACAGGTATTGATTCCCACCACTTTACAGGTATTGATTCCCACCACTATTCACAGGTACTGATTCCCCACCACTATACACAGGTATTGATTCCCATCACTATTCACAGGTATTGATTCCCACCACTATTCACAGGTACTGATTCCCCACCACTTTACACAGGTATTGACTCCAACCACTATTCACAGGTATTGATTCCCACCACTTTACAGGTATTGATTCCCACCACTATTCACAGGTACTGATTCCCCACCACTATACACAGGTATTGATTCCCATCACTATTCACAGGTATTGATTCCCACCACTATTCACAGGTACTGATTCCCCACCACTTTACACAGGTATTGACTCCAACCACTATTCACAGGTATTGATTCCCACCACTTTACAGGTATTGATTCCCACCACTATTCACAGGTACTGATTCCCCACCACTATACACAGGTATTGATTCCCATCACTATTCACAGGTATTGACTCCCACCACTATTCACAGGTACTGATTCCCCACCACTTTACACAGGTATTGACTCCAACCACTATTCACAGGTATTGATTCCCACCACTTTACAGGTATTGATTCCCACCACTATTCACATGTACTGATTCCCCACCACTATACACAGGTATTGATTCCCATCACTATTCACAGGTATTGATTCCCACCACTATTCACAGGTACTGATTCCCCACCACTTTACACAGGTATTGACTCCAACCACTATTCACAGGTATTGATTCCCACCACTTTACAGGTATTGATTCCCACCACTATTCACATGTACTGATTCCCCACCACTATACACAGGTATTGATTCCCATCACTATTCACAGGTATTGACTCCCATCAGTATACACATGTATTGATTCCAACCACTACTCACAGATATTGATTCCCACCACTATACACAGGTATGGATTCCCACCACTATACACAGGTATTGATTCCCATCACTATACACAGGTATTGATTCCCACCACTATACACAGGTATTAATTTCCACCACTATTCACAGGTATTGATTCCCATCACTATTCATGGGTGTTGATTGTCACCACTATACACAGGTATTGATTCCTACCACTACACACATGTATTGATTCCCATCACTATTCACAGGTATTGATTCCAACCACTATACACAGGTATTGATTCCCACCACTATTCACATTTATTGTATTGATTCCCACCACTATACACAGGTATTAATTCCAAAAACCATACACAGGTATTGACTCCCATCACTATACACGAGTATTCATTCTCATCACTATTCACATGTATTGATTCCTACCACTATTCACATGTATTGATTCCCACCACTATTCACAGGTATTGATTCCCAGGACTATACACAGGTACTGACCCCATTCACTATACACAGGTACTGACCCCATTCACTATTCACAGGTATTGATTCCCAGGACTATACACAGGTACTGACCCCATTCACTATACACAGGTATTGATTCCCACCACTATACACAGGTATTGATTCCCCACCACTATACACAGGTATTGATTCCCATCAATATACATAGGTATTGACTCCCATCACTATACACAGGTATTGATTCCCACCACTATACACAGGTATTGATTCCCACCACTATACACAGGTATTGATTACCACCACTATACACAGGTATTGATTCCCATCACTATACACAGGTATTGATTCCCACCACTACACACAGGTATTGATTACCACCACTATACACAGGTATTGATTCCCATCACTATACACAGGTATTGACTCCCACAACTATACACAGGTATTGATTCCCACCACAATACACAGGTATTGATTCCCACCACTATACACAGGTATTGATGGCCGTGTGTCAGATGGATTATGTGCTAATATGTCTCAAGCTTAATCTATATCTAGTCTCTGAAATGAACTGTTCTACAGAAAAACAACAGTTGTTTAATGATAATTTATTAAATATAATATAATTTAAAAATATGAGCCCAGAGACTTTCTTCATCCAGATACTGCAGTAACCTAAACTTGCCAAATATTATAGACTTGCACGGGCTGTATTGGATATATTTGTTTCAGCGTCTGTATGACAGAATTGTATGATCTTAACTTCGCCCCGATTATGTTTCTGGCCACAAGTTGTCAGCGCCAAAGCCATATCGTGGGTTTCACGAAAGTTGGTTGGTTAGTTGGTTTGTTGTTTAACGCCGCACTCAGCAATATTCCAGCTTTATGACGGCGGTCTGTAAATAATCGAGTCTGGACAAGACAATCCAGTGATTGACATCGTGAGCTGCACTTCTTAGAGTTAAACAGCTGAAACAATGTTCTAAGCCGCGTCAAGCGACGCACGCACTCACGCACTCACGCACCCACTCACTCACTCACCTACACATTCACGCTGTTTTGTGTAGGCGTGTATTTTCACCTCCCAGTGGCGTCTTCTCTGAGAAAAGAGGACGTGTAAGAGTTTTCGTGAGCTTGCCACATGGACAGAAGAGCTAATGGTGTAAAAGCATACAGGTGTATTATTCCTTCCAACACGAGACCGCCTCCGTGGTCTAGTGGTAGAGCGTCTGCCCAGAGAGCGGGAAAAGATGGTACTTGCTGTTACCCTGTCTGGCGCTCGGCATTTATTCATATTAAACTGCGGCTTGGTATCTCAATGTGCTACCACTATAAATCGGCATCCGTCCGGACCAGCAAAAGCACACGCACGCACGCACGCACGCACGCACGCACGCACGCACGTGCACGTGCACGTACGTCGCTATATAAGTGCAATAATCTTGAACGCGGCGTTAAACCCCATTTCACCTCACCTCACCTCACCTCACCTCACCTCACCTCACCTCACCTCACCTTCCAACACGAATAATCCAACGACTAGCTACCGAAATAAGCATCAAACAACTTAATCATTTGGTGACACATTCAACAAAAATAATAGTTACGTGATAATTTCTTGACTAAACAAATGCATTCCCGGCCGGGTTCTAATTCCATTATGTATTCTATTTTAAAACAACACACCCTCCTCTTCAAAAAAGCTGTGCACTTAACTACCACACCCCACACAATACACCCCACAACCCTACTACACATACTCAACACACACACACACACACACACACACACACACACACACATACACACACACACACACCCTCCTTCCACATCACCACATTCCCCACCCCTCCACCCACCCGCCAACTCAACCAACTATATATTCCGTTGAACTAAAGTTTGCCACGAAGATCACACATCTGTTTTCGTGAATCCGGCAGGTCATTGCGGCCTACAACCACGCTAAGTACGTGAACCTGTGGGTGCTGTCGGCGTACGCCATGGCCGACCGTGGGGAGTACTTCGCGGAGGGCGCCACAGCTTACTTCAACGTCAACCAGGAGGCCAGCGCTGCAGGCATGAACAAGTGAGTGAGTGAGTGAGTGAGTGAGTGAGTGGGTCACGGCTTACTTCAACGTCAACCAGGAGGCCAGCGCTGCAGGCATGAACAAGTGAGTGAGTGAGTGAGTGAGTGAGTGGGTGGGTCACGGCTTACTTCAACGTCAACCAGGAGGCCAGCGCTGCAGGCATGAACAAGTGAGTGAGTGAGTGAGTGAGTGAGTGGGTCACGGCTTACTTCAACGTCAACCAGGAGGCCAGCGCTGCAGGCATGAACAAGTGAGTGAGTGAGTGAGTGAGTGAGTGAGTGGGTCACGGCTTACTTCAACGTCAACCAGGAGGCCAGCGCTGCAGGCATGAACAAGTGAGTGAGTGAGTGAGTGAGTGAGTGGGTGGGTCACGGCTTACTTCAACGTCAACCAGGAGGCCAGCGCTGCAGGCATGAACAAGTGAGTGAGTGAGTGAGTGAGTGAGTGAGTGGGTCACGGCTTACTTCAACGTCAACCAGGAGGCCAGCGCTGCAGGCATGAACAAGTGAGTGAGTGAGTGAGTGAGTGAGTGGGTCACGGCTTACTTCAACGTCAACCAGGAGGCCAGCGCTGCAGGCATGAACAAGTGAGTGAGTGAGTGAGTGAGTGAGTGGGTGGGTCACGGCTTACTTCAACGTCAACCAGGAGGCCAGCGCTGCAGGCATGAACAAGTGAGTGAGTGAGTGAGTGAGTGAGTGAGTGAGTGGGTCACGGCTTACTTCAACGTCAACCAGGAGGCCAGCGCTGCAGGCATGAACAAGTGAGTGAGTGAGTGAGTGAGTGGGTTACGGCTTAGTTCAACGTCAACCAGGAGGCCAGCGCTACAGGCATGAACAAGTGAGTGAGTGAGTGAGTGAGTGAGTGGGTCACGGCTTAGTTCAACGTCAACCAGGAGGCCAGCGCTGGAGGCATGAACAAGTGAGTGAGTGAGTGAGTGAGTGAGTGAGTGAGTGAGTGAGTGGGTCACGGCTTAGTTCAACGTCAACCAGGAGGCCAGCGCTGCAGGCATGAACAAGTGAGTGAGTGAGTGAGTGAGTGAGTGCGTGAGTGAGTGAGTGAGTGAGTGAGTGAGTGAGTGGGTCATGGCTTAGTTCAACGTCAACCAGGAGGCCAGCGCTGGAGGCATGAACAAGTGATTGAGTGAGTGAGTGAGTGAGTGAGTGAGTGAGTGAGTGGGTCACGGCTTAGTTCAACGTCAACCAGGAGGCCAGCGCTACAGGCATGAACAAGTGAGTGAGTGAGTGAGTGAGTGGGTCACGGCTTAGTTCAACGTCAACCAAGAGGCCAGCGCTACAGGCATGAACAAGTGAGTGAGTGAGAGAGTGAGTGAGTGGGTCACGGCTTAGTTCAACGTCAACCAGGAGGCCAGCGCTGGAGGCATGAACAAGTGAGTGAGTGAGTGAGTGAGTGAGTGAGTGAGTGAGTGAGTGGGTCACGGCTTAGTTCAACGTCAACCAGGAGGCCAGCGCTGCAGGCATGAACAAGTGAGTGAGTGAGTGAGTGCGTGAGTGAGTGCGTGAGTGAGTGAGTGAGTGAGTGAGTGAGTGGGTCATGGCTTAGTTCAACGTCAACCAGGAGGCCAGCGCTGGAGGCATGAACAAGTGATTGAGTGAGTGAGTGAGTGAGTGAGTGAGTGAGTGGGTCACGGCTTAGTTCAACGTCAACCAGGAGGCCAGCGTTGCAGGCATGAACAAGTGAGTGAGTGAGTGAGTGAGTGCGTGAGTGAGTGCGTGAGTGAGTGAGTGAGTGAGTGAGTGAGTGGGTCATGGCTTAGTTCAACGTCAACCAGGAGGCCAGCGCTGGAGGCATGAACAAGTGATTGAGTGAGTGAGTGAGTGAGTGAGTGAGTGAGTGAGTGGGTCACGGCTTACTTCAACGTCAACCAGGCGGCCAGCGCTGCAGGCATGAACAAGTGAGTGAGTGAGTGAGTGAGTGAGTGGGTCACGGCTTAGTTCAACGTCAACCAGGAGGCCAGCGCTGGAGGCGTGAACAATTGTGTGAGTGAGTGAGTGAGTGAGTGGGTCACGGCTTACTTCAACGTCAACCAGGAGGCCAGCGCTGCAGGCATGAACAAGTGAGTGAGTGAGTGAGTGAGTGGGTCACGGCTTAGTTCAACGTCAACCAGGAGGCGAGCGCTGCAGGCATGAACAAGTGAGTGAGTGAGTGAGTGAGTGAGTGAGTGAGTGGGTCACGGCTTACTTCAACGTCAACCATGAAGCCAGCGCTGGAGGCGTGAACAATTGTGTGAGTGAGTGAGTGGGCCACGGCATATTTTACCGTCAACCAAGAGGCCAACGCTGGAGGCATGAACAAGTATGAGTTGGCCAAACAGTAGAAGTAGACTGCAATGATTGATGAAGCCACGTCAAATACTCTTTTGGAGCAAAATAGGCGCCAATGTGAGCTCATTTCTTCATACACACCTGTGTAACTTGTATCGAACATATCTGTGAGATTAATTCCAGACCCGTGATTGGCTAATCCATGGTGATGACCTGAGGTCAGATTATGACGGACTACGTTCCTTATCGCACAGTCATTGATAAGTTAGTCGTGCTTCAGTCGAATGTTCACCAACGTCTGTGTTAACCCCCAGGAGGCCAGGGGGGCATGGATGTCCCGCCTCTTCAACCCTTGAATAACATTACTTATAAACCTCAGAGTGTTCATTTGGATTGATCGTTAAGTTTCTTCAAACTTGAGAAAGACCCACATGAGGTTTTACTTGCGTAGAAAACCCGGGGACTTGATTTTCATCGTTATTTATAAACCTATTCATTGGGATCGCTATTAAGTAAGAGTCCTGGGTATTTTAGTAATATAACTTCCGTTCAGATTGTAACATGTAATGAAATGTAAAATCAAATGACAAATGTTTTCTTTATATTCACGAGGATCGAACTCGCAACCTTCATATCTGTAGCCCAGTGAGTGTACCACGAGGCTACAGAGGTGTTGATAAGCCTCACTGGTTTTTAGAATGTCCTTTTCAAGATCCGTACGCCAGCAACAGATATTTTACGCGCGTTTTCTAAGGTTCATGGACAATATGTTCGAAACATAAAAATGTTGATAAATGTTGATTTAAGTTTCTTTTTTTCGGTTTATAAGTCAGATAAAACACTTATCCTCGGTTTTGGTTGAAAATGTAAAACCCGCCTGGTCGGAAAGATCTTCCCTCCAAGGCGGGTTTACATTTTCAACCAAAACCTCGGACCGTGTTTTATCCTTCACATCACGCACACTAATACACTTCACCACTTTGAATTCTGTGGGAAATTCCCTCCTCTGTGATATCCTCCACTGTCATTTTAGGCAAATCAAGATTATTGAAAATGTTCTCAGAAACTAAATCACCCTTCGCTTGTTAGATACCAAGAATTGTAAAACAAATGGTATTTGACAGGCACGAGTGCAGTAATCTCGTTCTTATACATAACACAACGATCATGAGTACTGCTTACTACCCAGAAATATTGTGACACTACACATAACAGTATCTGTGGATTATGAAGGCGATGATATGCTAAACCAAACTAGATAAGACAAAAGCACATGAATTTACCCGCTGTATGCCAAGTTTATAATTTTCACCTGCAAGAAATTACAAAATGTTTACTTCCGCATGACATCACTACCGGTGACTACAATTACAAAATAGCTTTTGATGTCCCATTGCGATCATGAGAACAGAAAAAAACTGCATCGATTCCATGATAAAAACGTGCGATATTAAGATGTGTAAGAAGCAGATTACTGCACTCGTGCCTGATACCATTATCTTACAGCTTTCGCTCGTTAGATCGGTTTTGAAACAACTCGTAAGATAAATGATATCTGATAGACACTCCTGTAATATCCCAAGAGGTATCTTTATCATCGGCCCTTCTCTCCTCTCACACTGAAAAAAACTCTGCTCCTAAGAAAAAAACAACTGTTGAACATATCAGCCTCATCTGAATACAATTTCTACATGTTCCTGGACCCGTGAAGATCCGGGGTAGATTAGGTCTTCAGGAACCCATGCTTGCCGTAAAAGGCGACAATGCTTGTCGTAAGAGGCGCCTAACGGGATCTGGTGGTCAGGCTTGCTGACTTGGTTGAAGCATTTCATCGTATCCCAACTGAGTGGATGTCAATCACTGGATTGTCTGGTCCAGACAGATTATTTACAGACCGCCATCATATAGCTCGAATATTGCTGAGTGCGGCGTTAAACAACAAACAAACGAAGATATCTCATTTTAGTGTATGTCTCCTAAACTTGGTAGGTTCCAGGTACTTCTACAGGTGAGTGAGTGAGTATGGTTTTACGCCGCGTTTAGCAATATTCCAGCAGTATCATGGCGGGGGACACCAGAAATGGGCTTCACACATTTTACCCATGTAGGGAATCGAACGGCGTGACGAGCGAACGCTTTAACCACAAGGCTACCCGACCGCCCCTGGAGGCGGCAGTTGCAATATGTCGATGTTGTAGTGATGACCCTTTTGATTAATACGAAGTGTTGGTTGCATTTTGAGTTGATCTGAGATTTGAGAAGGAGATATAATAAATGAAAGACTTTTCTTATATTAAACGAGGAACGCCGGACGATGAAAACACATCCATTTAAAAAAACCACATTAGAATCAACACCAGAATTCAAAATGGCAATCGCCAAATAGATAGATACTACATATTATCTCTTACTTTCATGTGAAACTTTTGTGAAACTTTTGTGAAACGCAATGATGGAGTGCTATTGGTTCGTAAAAATGTTGATCTTTTCCAAACCTATTAATAATTGGATGGTAAATAACTACTTTATTGAAGGGAAGGATTTTTTCATGTCATGTTCACTGCACGTGCGACTTTAGGCCCAAATAGATAGAATGCAAAGTGTCACATTATATCTGTACAAAGTATCTAAGTAATATTATCAAGTGTCAGGAAGCACCTTAATGCTGAGCGCCAGGGTAACAAAAGTACGATCTTAACGTTTATTGGTATGACGCGGACGGGGATCGAACCCCGGACTTTCCGGTCTCCGGGCGGACGCTCTACCATTAGACCACGGTGGCGGTCGCTTATAAGAAATACATGGGAGGTGTACAATCGTCAATTTTGACAACAGGTGCGACGGGACCCACTACTGCACCAGTGAGACTGCGGCTCGGAACTACCTCAAACTCCACGACAACAGCCTGTACAACGTCCTCACTTACGTCTTAACCAACAACCATCCCGAGACGCCCAGCCAGCTGGCTGTGTGCCAGAGGAGCTAGGGTGAACTGGTCAGGGGAGCGAACCTATTACACGGGATTCTTGGTGGTTCCAATAGCAAATAAATATCATTGATATGTACAACCTGTTTTTTTCATTTAATTGAGTGAGTTCAAGTAGCGCATCCTGTCGCCAATGTGTCATCTTCCCGAGGCAAGAGAGTTAATTGACTTTAAAGTCCAGTTTCCAACCCTGCCGAACTAGGCTTGAATTCCCGGACTCGATCGTAGCGCCACCAGTGGCTGTTACGAGTTACGTCACTTCTATGCCTCTCCTATGGACCAATCAGAGTCCACCCCTCGTATCCATTGCATTTGCTTCAAACAAAATGGCCGGTGTATAGCTGGATTATTGCTTTGTGCGGCGACAAACAACAAACAACAACAACAAGATGAGAGAAACATGATATTTCACGAGAAACATGGAATATCCTATTCATTATATGTTTTTTGTGCAGTTTTGAACTGGAAAATTATGTTCAACTTTGAAACGTAGATTCTCCATACCTTACACGCAGTGACGTTTCACCACCCTTGTAATTGCGACTTAAAAAGTATCAAAAAATATTTAGGGTCATGGAAATTCTTTATCGTACATTTAGATATGATTATATACAAAATCAACTTTAACAAAAATATTCTTAAAAACTACGAGACAGCTGTTGGAAGCGTAAAATACAAGCTGGTCAAGTAACAAAATGCTGCTTTGCGACACGAACAATCTCGATTGACGAGTAAAATGAGAAGTTTACAGTTTATAACGAAACATTTTCAAGAGAATAACAAACGGCAAAAAGCGATATTAACTCCATAAATGACCATCTGATATTTTGCCTTGTCAATGTAGGACTAACGTTAAAAGAACGTCAAAACAGTTTGTGTACTGGCTAGACACTTACGATAAAGGGAGACAATTTGAGTGGAGGTAACTCTTGTATGACAATTGTTCCGTCAAAGTGTTATGTTCACTGCAGTGAAATATCAAGTGTTATGTTTACTGCAGTGAAATATCAAGTGTTATGTTCACTGCAGTTAAATATCAAGTGTTATGCAAATCCTTCAGAATGCGGGAGTCAACGTCATGGACTGGCCGTCAAGGTCTACCGACCTCAATCCCATCGAACACGTCTGGGATGCTCTTGGCAGAAGTCTGCGCACTCTCCAGAACCAACCACAGAATTTGCAAGATCTTGGCACCATTTTGCAGCAACAATGGCGTCGTCTTCCCAATCATGTGTTCACAAGCATCACAAGGTCCATGCGGAGGCGTTGTGTGGCAGTTGTCAACGCACATGGTGGCCATACACGCTACTGAACTTGTGTGCCATCAGATTCTCGTGCTTGGGACTTGATTTAAACTGTTGATGTTATTACCGAATACCGTAGGTGCTTGGAACAAATTATGGTTACCACCGTTAATTATATTAAAATCCTTCTTTGGACATTAATGATTAATAATTACCTTCTCTGATACATTTGTCCGTTGTATATCATATATGGGATTACTTTTAAAAATGTGAAGTTTTTAATTTGAAATTATGGAGTCCCAAAGAGGGACAGGTCAGCCGATACTGCTTAGGCAGAAGGCGACCTCTTAAACACTTACTGCAACAACAACATGTATTTAGTAAACTAGAGATAAAAATCAAAATCAAAGCCTCTATAGCAGAAAGATAACAAGCTCAATGGGACTCAAGTAAGATCGGCAGATGGCTATACAACATTCAACCCAAGGTCCTACAAAAGCCATCATCATACTCAAATGAAAGGAAAGCTGAAATTGGCATCTTATGCCCCAGACTCGGTCACGAAAAGCACTGTGACAAGGTTTGTTCATCTTGCAATCAGGCTGAAACCATTGCTCACGTGTTACTAGAATGTCAAGACCATGCCCCAGCCCGGGCTAGGTTAAAACAAGAATTGCAGTTAGATCCGCTATCTGTCATAGATCTCCTAAAGCCAAGAGATGCAATAGCGAAGGCCAAACTAACTCTATTTCTGAGAGATGGACAGCTACTCGAACGTAAACTGACGTCCAAAAGAAACTTTACCAACTGAAAATATAAATTTCAGACAAAGTATAATTTTTTTTCGATGAAGTCTATCTAAAACACATAACCTAAATACAACAATAGTGTATGCAGAAAATGTTAATCGTATGTTACATGTTTGCGAGATAACAAGCGAAAAAGTGAAAAACATGTGCACCACGGACAACTGCAAATGCACGTGCGGGTAAGGGTATGAAACGATTGCAACGGCAAGTCAGACATCCACAGTGATGAAAAAAAGACCAAAAGAAATGCTACGACTCACAGTCGAACAACGTGAACGAGCCCTGGGTATGGTACAGATGGGAGCAACCCACGCCCATATTGCACGAACCTTCGGTTGCTCCCGTGTTGCCTTTACCAACTTGATACAACGTTACAGACTGACAGGGCGGCACGCTGACAGGACAAGAACAGGCAGACCCAGGGTGACCACGCCCCATGATGACCGATACTTGCGTACCTTGCACCTCCGAAATCGCTTACTGACAGTGACGTCATCGGCGACAAATGCCTTAGGTCACAGGGTTAGTCGACAGACAGTGGCCAGGAGACTCAGGGCTCATGGAATCAGGGCTTTTAGACCATACAGAGGACAGCTATTGACAGCGCAACATCGTCGTCTGCGATTGAGATGGGCCCGGACTGTACGACGCTGGCAACGACGTGACTGGCCGAGGGTTGTCTTCACTGACGAAAGTCGATTCTGTATTTTTAGGGTTGATGGAAGACAACGTGTTTACCGCCGAAGGGGTGAACGAACGGCGGCGTGATGCGTGCAGGAGGTCGTACCATATGGTGGAGGGAGTGTCATGGTGTTGGGAGGGATCTGTGGGCAGGAGAGGACACCGCTGGTCATCGTTGACGGAAACTTGACAGCTCAGCAGTATATGGATAACATTCTTCGTCCAGTTGTCCTACCATTTCTCCAACAGCAGCCACGTGGTGTCATTTATCAGCATGACAACGCTAGAGCCCATACAGCCTGAATTGTCACTAACTTCCTCGCAGCCAACAACGTCAACGTCCTGCCGTGGCCTGCACGCTCACCCGACATGTCCCCCATAGAACACCTCTTGGGCTTGATGGATCGTCGTGTTCGACAACGACCACACTTTCCAGCCAACCGGCAAGAACTGATCTTGGCCCTCTAAGAAGAATGGCGTCAAATCCCTCGTGACCTCATCAGACGACTGACTTTTTCTGTGCGTCAAAGAGTTTTTGCGTGTATTGAGGCATTTGGTGGTCACACACGCTACTAATGACTTGTTATTGAACGTGAGCGATTGTTTATGTACTCTGCCTATTGTCCATGATTCTGAAAGCTCGAGTTTTGTACCACACCCAACTTTGGGGGGCTCTGACGTCATTCTCGGTCGCGGTATGATTGTCATTTTCAGTGTTGATTATGTTGATATATTGATCTTCTCAATACACTTTACGTCATGCATGTATGTTTTGTTGTTTTTGAGCAAGAGTGATTTCAAACTCTGGTAAAGTTTCTTTTGGACGTCAGTTTAAATAAACAGAGCCGCCAAAGATAAAATTGAAATTATATCAATATACGAAAATAGAAATCATATCAATACAAGTACAGAAATTCTGTATACCAAACTCGCACACAAGTCTCAAAGAGGGACAGGTCAGCCGAAATTGTAAAAGGCGACCTCCTAAACACTTAAAGCAACAACAACAAACATGTATTTCATTTCACTATGGCGAACCTTCAGCGAGATGAATACATAACTCCACAGCGTGGTGGTCAACAGTTCCTACATGATGGCTTTCGCTATCGCGTGAACGTCCGGCGTCAGCTGGCTGTCCATTGGAAGTGTGTCTTTGGTAGATGCAAAGGTCGACTAACTACCATTGGAGATCATGTCTCCTCAGTTCATGATCACAGTCATCCATCGGTTGAGCGTGAAGAACAGTTACGACTCATCAGCAGACTTAGGCAACGTGTGGAGGAAGACACAACATCCATTCAGCAGATCTACGAGGACGAAGAGTCAAAACTCGATGCTCCTTCAGCTGCCACCGTCGCTCCTTAGACAGCATGAAGTCCGGACTCTACCGACATCACAGAGAGGTTCTACCTCTATTACCAAAGACCCTCTCAGTAAACAAGATCCCCGCGTTCGCCACAAAAGAGATGCTGGACATTCTCTCGGACTCTATACACTGTCTACTTGGATGGTGCCTTCTACACATGCCGAAAAGACATATGAGATTGTGGGAGCACCTTGCCACTGAAGAAAGACACCACTTCAGTCCCTTGATGCTGCCGGCCACTATTGAAGTTTAAATGACTTTGTGTATGACTAGTGATTTGAACTATTGTGACTTGCTCTCTGTTAGACCATGATCATTGTTGTATATTTATTTTATGCATCATAAAGAATAAAATATCTTACATTAATACCCACTGTTTGTCTTCTTGTCTAATACCACATGATCCCGTCCATTCTTCACAAACGGTAGACGTGTGTGTGACTATCAGACAATAACTTATTGTTATAAGACTGTAGGCAACGTGGGGGGTAGGCTATATGATACCAATCCTTTGCTGTGCCTTTATAGACTTTAAGAAGGAATTCGAAATGGTAGACAGAAAAAAACTTTTGTAACTTTAAAAAAGAGCACGTATGAGTCAGTGGCTGCATGTGTGAAAGCTAACGCTGGTACGACATGACGGTTAATACCACATCAGGTGTGCGACAGAGCTGCGTCCTGAGTCCACTACTATTAATTTTCTTTATAAATGAACTTGTTGATGTTATATATCAGAAATGCAGTAATGGATATTTGTAACTCAAGAAGTTAATGATTTACTTTTACTTTTATTTGCTGGTGATATAGTTATGTTTTCAATGTCCTGTGAATGGTCTACAAAAGCAACTGAACGCCCTACAGCGGTTTTGTGACACTTGGGGGCTAGAGCTTAACCTAGACAAGTCAAATATACTTGTATTTGGAAATGAAGGTAAAGATGTGCAAAAGGAAAAATGTTCGTTTCGTAATGTAAACATGA